TCAAAAATAAAGGAAAGCAGAGGGGTAGTTCTTGTATGAGAGCATGGGTGCATGGAAAATAACACTGTCAGCAGTTTCGTTTTCTCCACACATTTCTGGCTTGCAGCTCAGTTTTCACATTTTATTCCTGATGCAAAAATCGTTTCCATTTCCTGTCTCCTGTCCCCCACCACAAATTTCTCTTATCTGTTAAAAAAAGAAAAAAAAATATTGCAGGTTGGGCTAAAAATAAATAGACTTCTTTCTGTCTTACATGTTATGTTTCAGATCATGTTTTTCCAAAACATGCTGTAGTGCTCATGAGCTTACAGTCAGGTCCATACACATTTGGACATTGAGAACTTTATTATTATTTTAGCTATCTACAGGATATCACACACACACACACATCATCTAAACCACCCATCCTTCTGGGTCACGGTGGGGTGCTGGAGCTGTCATTGGGCAGGATACACCCTGGATAGGTCGCCAGTCCATCACAGGGCAGACAGACATACACACACAATCACATTCCCACCGGGGGCAATTTAACATGTCCAGTTGGCCTGACTGCATGTCTTTGGACAGGGGGAGGAAACCAGAGTACCCAGAGGAAACCCACGCGGACACAGGGAGAACTCCACACAGAAAGGACCCCGGTCACCCAGCCGGGAATCAAACCCAAGCCCTTCTTGCTGTGAGGGGAAAGCACTTCCCACTGCGCCACTGTGCTGCCCTAGCTACAGTTAATTTTAAAAATTTAATAATTAGTATGTGCTCATCATCTCAACAGCACCAACCTCACAGCTTTAATTTTTGGTATTTGCATCCAAATCAAGTGAACAGTGCAGGAATTCCAACCATTTTCAGATTCAGATTTCAGAGGCTAAAAAAAGAAACTGGACAATTGGCTGTTCAGGCCAGGTGTGTTATCTCCTCATTATTTCACTTACAAGTAAGCAGATGAAAGGTCTAGAGCTTATTTCAAGTGTTGTATTTGCATTTGGAATCTTTTGCTCCTTACTCTCAATATGTTCAAAGAGCTGTCACTGTTAATCAAGCCATTATTAGGCTATAAAGTCAATACAAACCCATTAGAGAGTTAGCAAAAACATTAAATGTGGTCAAATCAACTAGTTGGTACATTCTTAAAAATAAAGAATCCACTTGTGAGCTCAGAAACATTAAAAAAGACAGAAGGCCATGGGAAACAACTGTGGTGGATGACAGAAGAATTCATTCCCTGGTGAAGAAAAACCCTTTAAAAACAGCTGGCTAGATCAAGAACACCCTCCAGGGAGTAGGCATATCTGTGTCAAAGTCAGCAATAAAGAGAAGACTACCAAAGTAAATACTGAGGGTTTAAACCACTGGTAAGACTCAAAACAGGAAGACCAGATTAGTTTGCCAAAAACCTTTTAAAAAGCCTGTGCAATTCTGCATTTTATGGACCGATAAGTTAAAGATCAACCTGGACTAGAATGATGGGAAGAGAAGAGTATGGAGAAGGGAAGAAATTGTTCATGATCCAAAGTATATTACCTCATCTGTCAAGCATGGTGGAGGTAGTTTGGCTGCCAGTGGAACTAGTTCTCTTGTATTTATTGATGTGACTGCTGACAAAAGCAGCATGAATGCTAAAGCATATAGGGCTATATTATCTACTCAGATTCAGCTAAATGCTCCAAAACTCATTAGACAGTGCTTCATAGTGCTGATGGACAATGACTATGAAAGCAACTCGTTGCTTTTAAGGCAAAGAAATGGAATGTTCTGTAGTGGCCAAGTCAATCACCTAAGCTCAAACCAATTGAGCATGCGTTTCATTTCCTGAAGGCAAATCTGAAGGTAAAACACTCAGAGTACAAACAGGAAGACAGGTGCAGTACAGGCCTGGCAGAGCATCACCAGGGTAGAAACCAAGCTTATGATGAGGTCTATTCGTTCCAGACTTCAGACAGTCATTGATTGTGAAAGATTTGGAACCAAGTATTAAAAATTATAATAAAATTTATGATTATAAGTTTATTATAATGTCCAATTAAAGAAAATGGCAGGGGGGATTAGGTATGAAAATAGTAATTGTAATTCCTACTCTGTTCACCTGATTTGGATGTAAATAAATTCAAATTAAAGCTGAGGGTTTGCACGTTAAGCTAATATTCATTATTTAATTTTAACTCCAATATGCTGTGGTAGACAGCTAAAATAACAATATCAATCCAAATATTTATGGACAGAATGTATATACATAAACATTTTATACACATGAATTTATACACATGAATTTATACAACTTAGAATATAATTTAGTGAGTCCCCAAAAAAGAGACTGCAATAGCTGCAGGGATATTATGAGTTCATTTCAGGCTGGGGAACAAATTTACCTCCCCGCTCCCCACTGGATCCACTTTCTGCTGCCATGACATCTTTAGCTATGCTCAGATATAACTGACATACTGCACTCTTAAAAATAAAGGCATCAAAAGGGTTTTTTGAGAGATGCCAGAGAAACTTTTGTTTCCCTAAAGAACATTGCAACTGATGGTTCTTAATAGACCTTTTATACTTTGTTAGTTCATGTCCCTTGTCATATTAAACATGATTAATTATAACATACAATGTAAAAGACAAAATTCTTGTTTTCCCATAATCTTTAATTGACGTTTTGTGACTTTTGCCTGCCCCAAAAACATCTTATCCCCTTCCCATCACCCCAACCTATCATCAAGTGAGACGCTCGGCTGGCTCAGAGACCCTGGGCTTGGAAATACATCAAAGTATGAATGGCATTGACTTTAAAGGAATATTCCAGGATTGTTACATCCTTGTCTATATCTGTTGTATCTGTGGGATACTGATAAATTTTACATAAAATATTTATAAAGCTTTTCCATCAAGTAAAAAACAAAGAAAACAGTTGACTCAAAATACACTTATAATAGAGGCTAATGGCTAGTTGGCATCCATTGAAAGGTTCTTAAGATAGCCAGAGGTGATTCTTCTATGGCATCACTCAAAAGAAAAATGTGCCAGTGTCAGACAGAATATTCTGGCCATTACAGAGATCTAAAAACTCAAAGGGACCTAAGAGATAGAACTTAAAGTAGAGCTGAATTACAAAACATTCCATATGTACTACATGGGGGAATCTTAAAGTGTGTTCTTTTAAACAAAAGCATTGCTATACCTTTGTAATGTATTTTTTTTTACATAAAATATAACAAAAGTATAGCAAAATAATAAAAGTATGCTTTGTTATAGGTTAGACCTAGAGTGTAAAATAAATTAGACCTGGGGTTAATTTTGTATTTTGTTAAATTTAGGATTTGTAGCAAATTAGGCCTTGGGTTTGTAATAGTTTAAACCACAGGTTCCCAACCCTGGTCCAGGAGTACCCCTGTCCTGGACATTTTGGTGTTTTACCTGCACTACCACACCAACCTCAACTCAGGAATGGCTTGTTAATGAGCTGATTAGTTGAATCAGGTGTATTGGAGCAGGTAAAACACTAAAATGTGCAGGATAGGAGGTACTACAGGACCAGGGTTGGGAATCCTGTGTTTCTGGTCATGTCCAAAGGTATTGTTCTTTTGGAAAGATATCTTTTGCGGGTACTCGAGTGTACAACATGGAGATTTTTTCAGACATTGAACGAGCCCTTCTTGACTGCTCCATACTCTTAAAATGACTGTTTCCTAAATAATTCTTGACTTGAATATATAGTTCCAAGAAAAAACATTTTGTACAGAACCTTTACATAATGTGTTTAAGTTTATAAAGATTCTTCACGTGTATATCTCATTTACAAAAATGGTTCAACCATCCTTCCCACAATGCGTCCTGGTGCCATCACTTCCCTCAGTAAAGAAGCATACATACCCAGGAGTCTATGTGGCATAAAAGAAAATGTTCTTCCATTGCTTCAAGGTCCAGTTTCCTTGTGTGCCCATTATATGTGCTTTTGATGGTGGACGGGGATAGCATGGGCACTCTGACCAGTCTGCGGCTACACAGCTCTATACAGAGCCGGGCACAATGCACTGTGTGTCGTGACAACTTCCTCCTGCAAGAATAATTAAAAATTTCTGTGACTTGTACCACAGTACAAGTTGGTTCAGGCCAGACAGGTTAGCCCTAACACATCACTAAGCCTTGGACACCTAACACCCTGTTGCCGGTTTGTGGTTTGTCCTCCTCTGTCCACTATCAGCAGGTATTCAACACTGCTGACCAGAGCACCCTACAAGTCTTGCCATTTCAGAGATGCTCTGACCCTGTCGCCTAGCCCTAACAATCTGACTGTTCTTTTACCATCTAATATATCCCAGACCTTGACACATGCAGTTGTTAAGAGATAAATGTTATTCATTTCATTTGTGAGCAGTCATAATGTTTTGGCTCATTTGTGTAAAGACAAGAATACACATCTACAATGGTTATACAAATAATTAATTATTTAAGTTAATTACTACAGCTTATGGTTTATTAATGTTGAAGCTCAGTTTTTTTTATGTTTTCTGATGCAGTGAAGTTATAGGAAGAATTTCCCTTTACCTTTTTGATTCTCTTTATTTTTACTTTATTTTCACATGTACACAGGAGGTTTTTTAAAGCTATTTGTTGACAAATTCATTATTTGTTGATATAAATGATCATTATTTGTGTGCCCATTCTTAATATGCTGCCTTCACCAAACAGCACAGCAGGGTATGCAGGCATTCATCAGTGAGAATTGAGGACTATGACCAAAGCGTGCCATGTGTCGCTCACTTGTCCACTAGGACAAAATCTTTTTTTTTGCTTATAATCTTCACAAACAATGCATAAAACTTAAGTCCTATATGCACCTTATTCTTCCATACTAGGGAAGCATATAAAATGAACCCAATGGAACAAATAACTTTAAATGCTCCACTGAATATTTCAACTATTTTAATATTGACAGCAAGCAGCCAAGCACCTGCAGGGAAAAAACACTATATTGAAATAGAACACAAAAATAATCCCCATTTCCAGATTTTAAATCGGTTTATAGTTTTATTCCTGGAAATTCACAGCAGAAGTGGACACAGAAGGCCAGAAACGGGGTTTCAGTTGTTTCCCTTCTGGTAGTTTTGTGTGGCATACAGTTCGGTTCACTACCTGTGCCAAATTCCATGTTGGCAACTGAAACCCAAAAGCATCAACCTACTGGCAACACAGGAGGAAGAGGAAGCTAAAACGATTTCCAGCTCTCTGGAGAAGAGAAAAGATGGCCAAACTTTGTTCTTTTCCATCTTTCAGGTTTTAATGCAATAAACACTATAAATAGCAACTATGACAAACGTACTGGCTCTGTACTGTCTAGAGAATTGCAGTGTGTGAGGCCAGAATGTTTAAGGGGTGGGATATGTGGCAAACATATATACATTTTTACAATATACATTATGTATAACAAATGTCATTTTTATGAGGTTTGATACTTTGGAAAATATATATACCAGCTGTGCTAGATCTAAATAACAAGTGTTTAATTTTAATAAACTGCACTACATACAACTGAAAATGACTATGTTCTTTTTGATGAAACATGCAGTCTGTCAGTGTTCTTAAAATACTGACGTTATCACAACGATAAATATATTGTCCAGCCCTAGACCAACATGTTTATTAAAAGAAACATTTCACGTACACTTGACCATTTCCGTTTAACGCATGGAAAGAAAGTGCCTTATATTTAAACTAACAAAAAGTCAAAGAAACAAATCACATGGCCCTGTAAATACAGAATGGTTCGATTTAAAAGTTTCTCAAGCATTAATGCGTACTTTAAATCCCATATCTTTGGAGACTGGTGTTTTCACAGGATTTAGGTTCAAATATTGACTTATGTTGACTGCACACTGTTACTGTCTGAAGGAGTTGCAGTTCAGCTGTCCATCAAGGAATAAAAACAACTTCCCACATTGCCCCAGAAAGTCTACTTGGTGGAGATTTTCTTTTATATTACTGCCTCCCACTGGCAGAACACTGCATCACAAGAGAATATTTTAAAACATATCCTGAATGTAGTGTTCATAAAGACACATGGCAAACATTCGTATGTGAAACACCTCACTGAAAATGAGAAACTGTAAATGTGTAACTATTGTGACTTGACTCAAATACACAGTATACACTGAAAAAGAACACTACTTTTCACATTAACCTTTATTTTAGGACTACATAGAAAAGAGCTTTGAAAAAGATACTATGATTCAGATAAAGTAGAATAACCTTTGTTCTTCGAACAATACATAAGTAATGAACAATAGTTACTGTTTTTAAACCATAAGAAAAAGTGACATCACATAAGGTCTCTTGAGTGTGTGTGTGTGTGTGTGTCAGCCTCTGCCTATCAATAAATACATAATTCATTTTAAATAAAGGCTTGTCTAGTCAAGACATTTTAGGCCATCAGAATAAAAATGCAGGGGACAGAAAGTTTATCAACCAATAATTGAGAATGTGCAGTATAGAAAATAAAAAAAACAAACAAATAAACATAAAGAGACAGACTTCACAGCAGCACTTCAGAGGATTTGCAGTTGTCTATGGCGAAACTCCGCTGCTAGGCCACGATAACCAGCAAACTAAAACCTCATGTTCATCACATTCTCATTCAACATCATCTTCAGCCAAGCTCTGTGCACTTACTACCCGCTATAAAAGAAGGGAGAAAAGAAAGGAGGAAGGGAGGGGTGGTATGAGAGAGAGAAAAAAGAGACTTTGAGTCTGCTGAACATTGAGTGTTAACTATGAATCGACTCTAAGGCTATGTTCACACTGCAGGTATTAGTAACCCAAATCCATTTTTGTTTGTTGTTCATGTTATTATTATTTATTTTAAATGTAGCCCATTTCATCGATTGCTTATCCATCAAATCCAGGGAACACACTGTAAAATATTAAACATATTTGTATGATATTAAAAGTGTTGTATTAAACATCCAGAAACATTTGAAAGGCAAAAACTAGACAGAAACAAACTATGCTTTAAACAATCACATCCATCTAAGAAATGTCTGGGCAAGATCCTAATATTCTGGGGTGGTGCATGATTGACAACCCTTACATATGTACTACCTGAGATTAGGAGTTTACTTTGAGAGAGGAGAATGTTGGCAAAAACACTGGCCAAGTATCGGTCATTGGAAAATTATTCACAGGATGTACTTTGTACATGTACACTGTAAGCCCAAAACGGCAAGATGAACCTACTTCGAAAGAAAACATGGATTTAGGTTGGCTTTAAGATTAACAGACCCCTTTCACATGTTGTCAGAATCAGCTGAGCAAATCACTACATTAAATTTAGAGGACAAAGAGCAGACACCAAAACAACCACATATAACAAAGTTTAACAGAAAACCCTGAAAACTGTTTTTTAATGCCGGTTTTAGTTGTAAAATCTGAACAAACAGATCAGGTTTCTTTTGTTTATCTGACTGTAAGAGGAATGCTAGCAAATGGAAGCAAAGAAGCAAATTTAGTACCAAAAATGGAATATACAGTTATAATGGAAATATACACAGAAACTTTACATGTATTGTTGATTTCTGAAGTGGAAAATAGTAAGCACAATCAAAAAATAAAAAAGACAAAAATAAAATATTGTGGCATGTGCAAAAGTTTAGACATCTTTCATTAAAGTCGCTAAGCTTAATTAAAGCATTAGGCCTTCAATGACTTGTTCCTACAGGGTAGGGAGCTCAACAATGGTCATTAGGAACTGTCAGCCCATGACAGTTCTAGAGCATAATAAATTCTTTGACTCTTCAAATCGTCTTAACACTTAACCATGGCCTCCTTTAAGCAGCTGGCTGAGAATCTGAAAATTAAGCTAACTGATGCCTACAAAGCAAGGCAAGACTATATAAAAAAGATACATATCAAGGTCCAGCTCACAAGCTCCACTGTCCAAAATGCCAATAAGGACTGGAAATTTCTGAACTGTGAAAGTTAAGGCAAGATCTGACAAAGAAAGCTATCAGAAAACATACCTAAAAAAGACACCATGAACTACTTCAAGCCATTAGCTCATAACAGGCTGCGGAAAGTGTTTGCATGTTATGATATCTGCCAGAAAGGTGTTACTAAGTACTGACTTAGTAGGGTGTCCAAAGGTTTTCCCACATGCCATAATTATTTTATTTAAGTTACTCAAATGTAAAGTAACTGTGCATTAGCATTTGCAGAAAAAAAAAAATATTTTAGTTTCCAGCAGAGGTGGTGTTTTCTTCTAACCAATGTAAAAATAAAAAAATATGTAATTAAGCCAGGAGTGAGAGTTGCGCAAAGTTCTACATACAACTGAAAAAAGACTTAAATAATTTGAGCATTGAGCTTGCAATCTTGATTGCCCCGAAGGCTAAAAACAAGCAGTTAAGAGGTTTTGAAGAATGCATTAAAAGTGCATCATCATAAAAAGTCTAAGCTTGGAAACATGTAATCTAAGCCTCAAACAGAGACTGTATTTTGTGGTCCAATAGGGGCTACAATGGGATAAAATGCTCCCAGAAAACAGTAAATGTGGCAGATTTGTTGTGTAAGAACATTATGTAGTGCACACACCTGGCTGATGGTGGGTACTTTGGTGATAAGCATCTGGAAGACAGGTGGAGGTAAAGTCTGCTGGAGCACCTGCAGGAGCTGCTGTGGCTGGCCACACACAGCAATGGCATTGGTCAAGTGGTCCACACCATTCTCATAGTCTCCTAAGAGGAACAAACATTTCAGCTTTTTATGTTAGCACTCAACAAATAAGAAAACGTTACATTTGGTAATGTTACAGCACTGGTCATCATCACAGTCTGGAGCATCTGACAAACTTGGTCTCTTGGGTTTTCAGCCAAAACTGAAGTGGACTAACAATGGGTTTGGATAGATCTCAAGAATTTCTGAGTTTACCACACTGAAGCTGCACTTGAATGACTGACAAAGTCATAAACACAAGCAGCAAAACTGGGCAACTTTTAGAGGACCAGCCGAACACACTAAAAGTGAGGAAATAATTACAAATATGGAAAAAGAAGCCTTACCCTGAGCTAGCAACTCCTCCCCAAGCTGAATCTCATCAAGGAAGAACTGCTGCACAGCCCCTGGATCCTTGAGATCTGGCAGCTTTATAGAAAGAAAGAAAGGAAAAGAAAAAAAAACATCTTCAGATTATGTTGGAGGCTCTATCATAGCCTTTACATGGGACAAATTCCTGACATTACAGCAAAGATTAAGATAACAGTATTTCAATAATGCTGACAGATATGGACACAATATTCCTTTTCAGACCATTAACATCATATTGAAAGAGACTTCTTCCTTACCCTGGCCAGCCCAGACTTTTCCTGAGCAATTTTCTGCTTTCTCCTACCTAAGAAAACACAAAAATGAAAGCTAAACCTTATCTGTGCGAAACTGCTTTGAATCTTTTTCTACTTCCATGCTTATTTGTTTACACTGCCAGTGCTTGTCTTACTTGTTCCTCAAAAGGAAATACACACAATGTAACTAAAATAACAGTCATTTTGATGAGGCAGCTGCAAGTGGTTTATTCCATGAGCATAAAATTCTAAATTTATTTATTATTTATTATTCTAAATTACTTTCAAAAGTCCAAACAAAACTGTACTGACCGGAAAGTCACAGTAAGTGCCATCATCTGTCAGTGCCTCTGAAGAAAACAGCCAGTGAAAATTGTAAACAGCTGTTGGTATATGAAAACATAACAGTTCAAAAACAGCTGCCTCAAAATATGTTGTGCTCCAACTTAGCTTGCAACACACCTGTACCAGATATTTAATGTTCTTAATTGCTAATTTACTTTTCATATTGGATATGTTTATTTCATTACATTGAAAATGTCAGATTAACTGTGATTTTGCCTCATTAAAAACAAGAGGTTTATTTCTGCTATTGTGGAATTAATACAATGTTGAGTTGGATTGACGCAAAAGTTACGTGAATTCCAATCTGACTGCTCAGACAGAAGTCATACTGACCCACATTATATGTCTATCAGATTTTAGTGCCACACATAAAAGTGGCCACAATTGAAACTGAAAATGGAATGGAAATGTCAGTCAGCATGATTTTTGCTGTTAAAAAAATTGCAATTTAAGAAAAAAAAAATGTTTTAAGGCCACGTTTACCTACAGTATAACCCTAAGCCTAAGAAAGACAGTAGTGTACTAGAGGTGAAATAGCCAAAGGTCACAAAAAAGACCCTTAACTTTGGATAGTTCTAGATGTTGATCTTGCATTCTTGCTTGTCCCAAAAGCTAAAACAAGCAGTCGGGGGGTTTTGAAGAATGCATGAAATGTGTATTATCACAATAAGCATAAGCTTGGAAACAACTAATCTAAACACTAATATAAACATTAAGATTACTTGACCACAAACAGATCCAAACTGAGCAATTTACTACTTCCTGACAATCCCCTGTCCAATACTGCTTTACATATTGTCACTGTCCAAACAAAACCAAGTATCTGCCAAAAAGTAACTTTACAGGAGAGAGCAAAAACATTTACTACTTTTAATGTAAGTCAATGTAAAGATGTTATATTCAAAGCAATTTTGGAGCATTTCTATAGGTCCAATCGTTGTGAAATTGGCAAACTAAAGGACATCTGCTGTACGCAAATGACAAAAAAAAAGTAAAAATCAAAATAACGGAGATGCATGTTTTTCTTTGGACTGCGAGAGTATGCAGCCCATGTTGTAGACTGCCCTTGCTTTGACCATGATGACCACTGTCTAAGAGGTTTTGTTTTACTCTGAAGTACACTTAGGGGCAATAGAAAAGGTACAAATTTCATTACGCACTGGTTACCCTAGGTCTGATCAACTCGGAGGTTAAATAACAACACTGATTTATTAATCTCTTAGAAGATATTAAGTTTTGAAAATGTACAGGTGCATATTAATACCATTTTTCCACACTGAGTATGAAGCTGACAGATGACGCTTTCAATTTTTAACTGAGTCAGTCATTTTTGGGTTGTGCAGAGCATTAAATGGGCAGTAAAAAGTAGGTATTAAAAAGTAAGCAGACCGATCAGAACTGCTTTGTCATGATTACTCTGTAGTTTATTTACTCCTTTTTCAATGTGTGGGATTCAAGTTTCACCATCATTATCTTCAGTAACCTTGTCACTGTTATTGCTTGATGAATCAATTTCCTTTTCTTCCTGTGTTATCAGAGTGACCAAAAAAACAAAAAACAAAAATAAAAAAACAAAAAAATAGAGGATCATAATTGGCAAAGTAATCACACCTTTTTGAAAAGTGGTCTCTAATTATAAATATGCTAATGCAGGACATGTTAATGTCGGTTCTACAATATAGAGCTAATAAATAATCCCACCTCCAACCAAACCAAACAAAACAAGTGAAACAACAGAGCCGATTTTTTTTTTAATGAAGCACGAATGTTGTCCTATCAACAACTAAAAATGGAATTCCACTGATTTTTTTTTTTTTTAGAATTTCTGCATAATTTGGTCATTGATATGTAAACAAAGCCATTCAGAGTGGTTTGATATGAAATGGTGTATTGTAGTGAAATTTGTTGGCTCGGATGTTCTTTACAGTGGTGGTGACAGAAACCAGGGATCACACTGTCTACAATGCAAACACAGCCTATTTAATATTTACTATCCAAAACTACCAGCAAGGCTACAGGTGTCTTCTCTAATGTGAAAGTTTTCTTCAGGTACCATTTTGCCCCGCAACGCTGTGCATGTATTTTTCTACCATGACAAAATGGTGGATGACAAAATATTTTGTCTCAGAATCATAAAATAATGTCTGAGGTATCAGTATATTCACAATGTAATGTATTAATTTTCTGTGAGGCTTTTTTTAAGGCAATAAACACGGTGGCAGGTTCCTATCACCACCACTGTGAACAATTCTGACTTGGCAAGTTTCTCTGTAATGAAATATTTCATATCATACCCCTCTGTATACATATACATACACAGATTATATGCATATTATACATACATATTAACAATGTAATTATGCAGAAACCTTGAAAAAACTATGGAATTGCAACACTGCTGTTTGTAGGTTTTATTTGTATTAGAAACATCCACACGACATATAAACAATGTTTCTCTGCTGTTGAGACCAGAGTGCCTCTCTCTCCCTCTATGAGTAATTGTTGATGTGAAACCACACTGAGCTATTTCCTAATCTCAGCGTAGTAATAATTTTCTGTTTCGTTCCCACCCTGGTCAAAAAAAAAAATCATTTGGGTCTTCGAATCAGCACCGTAATACGTCAAAGTATAATCTACGTAACGTAATATTAGCTAATACGAGCACACTGACACACAATTGTCTACAACTGCGGTCAAACAGGACGCATTTCTTTACCCTCCACTTTCTACAGTGACTACTTTGCAAACAAACTGCCAAATAAATGACTGTAGTAATTACGCCCCCAAGTCAGTTTTCAGAATCAGGTTAAACAGTGCTAACTAGCAAGTAAGTGAGAGAAACGCACTAATCTAAGCTAGCTAACTAGCCTACCTGATGATTTACACACAGTCTACTACCCCCGCCTTATTAACCGTCTTTGCGTTCACTGTTTGGTACTTTTAAAGAACCATTCACGGACTGAGAAATACTAGCTAACTACATACCAAGCAAACCTCTGTTTAAACTACTTAACTAACTTCGCCAAGTGAATTCCCACATTTACCCTACGTTGGCCATGGCCAAGTAGTTCGCTGCTTTGCTAGCCAGCTTGCTACCTGACAAACTATCCCACCACACAGCCGCGTGCTCTTTGGGACTCACGTTCACGCAGTCTTTTTTTGAAGTTAGGATCACTTCTTCGTTTCCTGTCGAAATATATACAGTACCCGACAAACAAGGCCCCGCTGACGCCGAGTGCAATCGTACTAAATTTACTGCCCATCATTTCTGTTGAGCAGTAAATGAACCTGAACTGTTAGCAATGTTGCTACCTACTGCACGGTGTAACCATCAGTGACAGGAGGAAATCCGTACTGCCGACCTCACCGCCAACGGGAAACCGTTGCACTGAGCACGCGCACGAGGCGGGGGCCACATTCACAAGGCCATACCGGAAGTGAGCTGCTAATGCACGAAAGAGAAACTCTGCTTTCACTTCCTTTCATTTTAGGCTGATTTCAGTTCAAAGATAAAGGCACACCTGAGCCGTTTTAGACCACGTTGTGGCCCTGCCCTCCTTTAAGAGAGACTGTCATTTGATCCACAGGCCTGAACATCACTTTATAGCTTCAAAATAAACGTTTATAACTCCTTAGTAATACAAAGCACGTAGCGGGTTCGGCGAATATTCATCATCATTATTACAATAATTTACATTGTCAATTATTCACATTCATTTATTTGTATATCATTATTGTAGTATTATAGTATTAAAATACACGTATAGTTGAGGCTGACTTCTCTGTGTCGTCTTTCTCTTGCTGTTCTTATATTTCATATATTTTACCCAAACAAATAATGGCGGAAGAAGCAGTAACCAAAAGTCATCATGTGCTGAAAATGTACTGAATGGTTGCGATGTTTTATGCTCCCTTCAATACATTCATACTTGCTTGTACACACTGCCAAAACAGATGAATTACATCTTTAGTTGCATTTTTACAGAAAGAGCAATCAACGTCAGGCTTGTATCTCTTAAGAAAAGCTTTTGCAGAATGGATTAATTTAAGGATAACTTCTCTCATTTTTGGGGAAAGTTAGTATCTAAGTGGCAAGGACCACACCCTCTGTCAAGGTGTATATTCTACAATAATGTACCAGTATGGCATTATACAAGGAATCATAATATCTTTCTGGAATAAGGCTCTAATTTTACAGTTATTACATTGGTACTCTGTAGAAAAGCACACACTGTCAACAGAAGCATTTAATAAATCAGGACTGATCAAATGGCAATGGAAAATTAACACCCCTAAGCAACATAGTCACTCCAGCTGGAATAGGATCAAATTCAATGGCATACTCTTTAACAGAGAGAGGAATTTTATATTTTTGCAAGAAACTTTCTATACAGCTTACCATTTGAGTCAAGAAGTTGGCTGAATGAACTGGTTTTTTCTGAACCAGATTTCCAAGACAGTTTATGATTTGTTTTTATTATTCTAGATGTAATATCAGTGTGTAGAGAAGTTATGCTTATAGATGAGAGACTAAGCCAATAGCACCTAGTGGTGGAAATTTGATAACTTGTTTGGCATTTTTTGGATTAAATAACAAAATAACAGAAACCTCAGGCTAATTTTAGAGAAAACATAATTGGGATTTGGGTTCATTATTACTGTATATACATATACATACATACATATATATATGTTTTATTTTTCCATACAAAGTTAGACAGCGTGTTATCGATTTCAACAACACGTTATCAACCTCCAGAGACAAAGCAGCATAAGTAACTTGGGGTAATCCCTCTGTTTACCTCCTTTAATACATAAATCTTATCTTTGTAACCATGAGTTCAGTGTCCGAGTTATTTTCAAAAAGGGGGAAAATATTTAACTGGCACTTCATATTCTGAACTGTAACAACTGTTATTCCTAAATATGTAACCTGATCTCTCAAATTTTCAAATTTAAATTAAGGCAGAGACCAGAAGCGTTTGAAAAGTAATCAATCAGCTCTAGAGCATGGGAATTTGGGAGCCATTCTTCAAAAAGTGTGGTGTCATCAGCCAGCTGGCTAACTATGACAAACACCCTGATAGCAAGAGGATAGTGGACCACTGTCGGCCCGCTAATGGCAAAGCTGGCGGTCCACTGGCGTTTTACTCAGCATTTTCTGGGCGGCCCACCAGCGGTTAAGCAGAATAATAGACTAGAATAATAATAATTCCACTTTTCATCGCTCATTTTTCCCTCACAGTCGAATTTACTGATTTCTCCTTCCTTCCTTCCTTTAGTTATACTTTATAAGGTAGTTTAGTAAATAATTTTAATCTAGTCTAGTCAGCAACAACATTTTCTATAAAATCATTTTATATCAGGCCTAGCCATTATTTTTATATATATATATATATATATATATATATATATATATATATATATATATATATATATATATATATATATATATATACACACATACACACACACACACACACACACAAAGATTTCTGCCTCCTATTATGCTAATAAAGTATGTCAAGAGCTAAAAAATACCGGTGGTGTCCTACGGAAAAAAAGATTCCCACTGTCAATCAGAACTTGACATTTAAAGAAGGTACTGCACTGTGCCCACTTGGCTAAAATGTAAACTCTAACGACCCCAGGATATTGCACATTCCTCCATTAACAATACAAATAACTAATAACAATAAGAAATATTGGAAACCAACCCTTCACTCGACATAAAACAAAATCCAGAAAGGAAAACAAAACCCACAAAAGTCTCCAAACTGGTACCAAATTAAGTAAATAGAACCTTATGTCATTATGGTATTAAGAAAAACACCAAAAAAAGAAGCCATAGAAAAGAAACAAATAAAAGGGTGGGAAAAACAGTGGCTACACCAATATCTGCACCCTCGTCTTCAGCCACTCTACAAAAGGAGACAAAAGGTAGTTTCAATATGTATACACACAAGTGCTGCAACAGCTTAAACCTCCAGTAAAGTTAAGCTGGAAACCCTATTAGCACCCATAGCCTTGTAGCCTTAGCCGAGAGGGGGTTCAGTCCCGAAGTGGCATCTGGCAGCAGGAAGTGGCAACTCCGCCGTCCGGAAATGGCACGTACTGGCATGTGCCACCGATAACTGGTAACGAGTGGCACATGCCACTCAGGAGTGGCACTAGCCATTTACTGCTGGCCAGCATTTTGCTGGGTGGTGGGGGAGATAATTATATTTACATGTTACCAAGTGCTAAGTTTTGAAAATAGCGCCTCATGCTGTTCATAAGGGAGTCAGTAGTGGAAACTATCACAAAACGTGACAAAAAATTGATTGATTGCCCCCTTGACCTATATTCATCCATACTGTCAAGAGCTCTCAACGTTACATCAGTTAAAGTGGGGATAACTTTGTTTTAAACACACAGGGATTGATACTGAACTGTCACAGGGGCGGCATGTGCCACTCGTTACCAGTTATCGGTGGCAGGTGCCATTCGCTAAGTGGCACATGTCAGTACGTGCCATTTCCGGACGGCGGAGTTGCCACTTCCTGCTGCCAGGTGCCACTTCGGGACTGAACCCCTGCAGCCTTAGCCCCAGTGATTCTTACAAGCACTGTGTGAAATAGGCACACATTACCTCTTTGTAGGTTACATTTACATCAGTAACTGTGACTGCTGACACCCTCTGGAAGCTCTCCTTCAGTCACCAGCCTCCACAATTAACTAAACATAATAAATATCCCACAGTAAGAAGCGCTAGCCTGTAGCATTTGGGACTAGAACAAATGCTAAGCCCTTCCATTGTATATAAAACACATTAAAACCCCCAACGGCATTGCTTAACCAAGCTTTAACAATTGAAAGTAGGTTATTTACCTGTATCTCATCTTTCTGACTGTTTAAGCAGGGCAAACCACCAAGACTTCTTTCAGCTACAGAATCAATGAAAACAACCCTTTAAGCTTCTACACAGAGAAACTACCACAGTGCACATATCAATAAACCTGCTAAAATAATCACATACCGTTTCCAGTGCGTACACACGAATAAAAGTCGGAACCTCCAGACTACAGTGGCGTTCTAAGCACGTTGTTTGAACAATGCCGGCATACTAGGGATCTCGTGAGAGCTCAAGATATTCGCGTTTGCTCTCGACACTGAAAACTTGCCTTCCTGCTGGGTCCTTCTGTTTCCATAACAGCTGGTACCTAGTGTCACACAGGCTACACATATGTAGGCCGTGTAAAAAACCACATACTGCCACACTAAACAGTATGATAATGACATTCACCAATCTCCAAATACTACTTTCTGGAGATCACGTGTGTTCATGTATTATGGGCAACGGCGGGCACGGCCACCCTGATACAATCGCTGCCGCCTCAGTGATCCCCCTTCTACCCACGCGCCCGGCGAGTGGCCATTAGAGATGAAACGATATTAAAATTTCATATCACGATTATCATGACCAAAATTATCACGATTATCGGTATTATCACGATATTGTTCAAATTTATTTGAAAAGTAAAATAAATAAAAAAAATAAATACTGATACACTAACTGAAACACTTTTCACCAACTTTTATATTAACACAAATAGAATTGGCAGCAATATGCACTTTTTGTTTGCATAAACATTAAAAAATAGTCAATACATTTGTAGTATTACTTTTTTATTACTTACAATACTTGTAATACTCTGTAAACAAAAGAATAGCAAATTTATTATTACTGTTATTATTATTATTATTATTATTATTATTATTATTATTATCATTATTATTACTGTTATTATTTTATTCTTCTTCTTCTTCTTATTATTATTATTATTATTATTCATTACAATAACTAGGGATTTCCCTGCATAGAGAATTAAATCTCGACCAACTCTGAGGTGGGTCTTAATGGAAAATGACTACTTCTAAGACGTGCTGCACTCGGGGGATTTCTGTCCGAACTGCAGCTGCAGCATTACTGTGCCGTTGTGGCGCTGAACCCCTAATCAACACAGTGCAGCCAAAATCACGGAGGAACTGCGTGACCGCGCTGTGAGATGCAGATAGCGCAGACCTCACACAGCGTGTCTTCACCTGTGGAGCTGCGTCTCTAAAAGCACTTAAAACTAAAACATAACTTAATTAACGCGCATCTGAGCTGCAGCAGAAACACTCCTAAAGTTTAATCTCTGAAACTCTGCAGCACAGCGTTTACTCGCGAGGTCCCGTCCCAAAGCACACTATCCCCCCTATGTAGTGCACTTCGTGGATCATGAAATAGCAAATCCTTCACCCAAAGAGTGCAAGAAACGGTCGACTAAGTCATCTATAATCAACATTAACAACAGGTTACAAACTCCCTATTTAAAGCTCAGCTGCTTGTTGATGATGATCGTGTTTGAACAGTAGTGCCCTATGTAGGGGACACTGAGCGATTTGAGACGGTGTTATTCTCCTCTCCGACAGTAAACACTGCAAGCGAGACGAGAAAGGGGAGCTGTGCAGATTGAACTTCTGCAACGTCTCGTTAACTCAGAGCTCATTTTGGAGACGCTGCTCCACAGAAATATGTGTTAAAAGCTTTAGTTTCGATTCACAGCTGATTCACCGACAGTTCTTCTTTTTCTTTTTTCTGACGCTAAAAGCTTCCTTTTGTATTATTAACGAACCATAAGCATAAGTTAAACCACACAGACCAGGACATCTCTTCTATTTCGGAGTCCACAGACTTCTCCGTTAAAGTTAACCTTTCTCTATAAAGTAGCGGGTGGTGGTCGCGAAGATGACTCGTAAGGTTTGATGTGTTGCCCCCTTTCGCCGCTATCTTCTTTCGGCCTGTTCTGCAGACAGGGTGGTCATCTGCAGACAGGGTGGTCATCTTCAATTAACTTCCCTTCTGCATCCTTATAAAACCCAAAACATGACCAAACGTCAGACTTGGTCTTCTTAGAAGGCTGAAATATCTCCGAATCTCTGTCACTACATTCTGCCATGTCCTCCCCTTTCTCCCCCCCCCTCCCCCCTCCCCTCCCCCCCTCCCCTCTATACACACACACACACACACACACACACACACACACACACACACACACACACAGAGCTGCGTCTGAGAGATGATTCTGCCTTTGTTTGACTCTGTACAGCGAGTTTTTCACACCGCGGTTTTAACGATACTTTAAAGTTCAAACGGTACTACTAACCGTCATTAATTTTACCGCGGTTTACCGTGAAACCGGTAACCGTTTCATCTCTAGTGACCATGTATATGTTGCATAATATGCTTCTATCTGATATACATTAGGTTCTAGTGCCGTCAACGAATGTTCTAAATTCGATTATATAATCGAATTGTAAAAAACATCGATTGTGAAAGTTAATATTCGGTTGTTAAAAAAGCAGCATTACCCGTCTGTCACGCGTGCCTGGGCCGCTGCACCGAACGCAGTGCATGACGGACAGGAGTCGCACAACGTCACTTTCATGAATTAAAATGAAGTGTAGGTCCAGCTGAAACGATCGAATATTTCAACAACAGCCGTGTGGTAACGATGGCAGAGAGTTGACAACCCAGCTCGACCGCAGAGAGAGCGATCTGCTCTCTGAGCAATCTAAACAGCCCGTTTGGAAACACTTCGGAGCAGAACTTGGAGGTCAGTAGATAGCAAAATTATGGAGATAACGTTTTATGTAAGCTATGTAAGCTACAGTTTCCATTCCAGCACTAGCAACCTGAGGGAACATCTGACTTTACCTGAAACTATGAACATACATCCTCTAGAAGATGAAGAATATTTCAATAATTTATTTCGTCAGACATAGTATTTGGTTTCAGCGTCGCTCCAAAAGTGTTTTGTTGCTGTGTCTCGTGGGTGCTGTGTTGAACGCCACTTGTTTATCTGTTCTCGTGCATATGCAGACTGAAAAATCCGAAAGAAATCCGAGTAAGACTACCAGCTCTAATAAATAGGGGGAATTTTCTTTACATGACCATTTTAATAATCAGATAACTGCAGAAATCCAATTATGATCTGATTATTGAGTGCACGTTTAAATGCACTTAATAATCAGATCCTAATCGTATTATTCTGATTATTTTTGTTATCTTCCATAATTTTCACATATTTCAAGGTATTCGTGTTTAGTGTCTTTTTCTTGCACTTGCTTGGCAGGGCATTGCTGCTACCTTCATTTTTTCATATAGCTTTACCCTGCAATAAGCCTCATAACCGGTAGACATACTGGGCTTCAGTTTCATGGATGAAATTTAAGTACAATGAGAGAAATGTAGCGCTTCCAGGCTACTCGTGCTAAAAGCCACCATGCACAGATAGGCAGTGAAACTTGGGAATTGATTGTGTGAACTTGTACATGAAACAAATATACTTTTTGGTTTTCTTCGCTTCTGTGGGCTCTACTATTAAGGGAAATTCCACCATTAAAAAAAAAAATCAGCAGAATTCAGTCATTGAGATGTAAACACTCAAGTAATTCAAAGTGGTTTTATGTGAAAAGGTCATTTAAAGGAAAAAAAAACGTTTTTACAATGGTGGTGATAGGAACCAGGAGTTGCACTGTCTACAACGCTATTTTCTATTCAAAATGACCCACAAGTGTCTAAGTAATGGATGATAGTTAAAATATAGGTAAGACAAAAAAGTTTTTCTTTGCTATTTAGTTGTTATTTTTCCTTACAACATGCAGGTATCCTTTTTTGCAATGACTGAATAAACACATCCACACAAGTTTATATGTGGTGCACTTCACAAACAACTAATTAATGATTTAATTATGCTGAAAATTTTGAAAAAAGGTGGGATTTCCCTTTAACGTGTGCATGTGTAATGTTTTAACAGCTCTACTACATATAAAAGTCAAGATTAGAAGTCACAAACTATGTCATTTATTTAAAACTGAGGATCTTACATTTGTACAATAAATTACATAATCTCCATCCTCTGATGAACCTAATAAATATGATAGATCTTTGCCACATTCTCACTCTCTTACACATGGTCTCAGAACTTTTTTTTTGGTAAAGATCCATAAAACTTTACAGTCCGTGTACAGATTGTAAAATACTTTTAAATCACACTTAAAAAAGTCTAATACAAGCACAGTTTAAACAGAAAGAAATGAAGACTAAACAGGAATGAAAAAGCATGTAACAGAATTTGAAAACTAAACTGAAAACTAAAGTTGTGCCACATAAAAGCAAAACACAAAATGAAAATGGAGAGGAGAAAAGGACATGCTTTTACCTTCAAAATGTACACAGACACTACAGTTAAAACGGTAAAACTGTCTGTACAGAAAGTACATATTATTAACAGTGCAAGATATTAAATAGCTTGACTCAAAACACACCTCTTAATATACAAATGTATAACAAAGGCATACAATTACATACAAGTGCCAACCAGTACAGACCTTCAGGTTATGGTACAATGGGGAGGCTATACAAAGGAAACACTGGAGGTGTTGTCAGTATTGTACACACATTAATTTTTTTTTGTAGTTATAAATGCACATTTGTGTAATTGTAACCTGTTCCCTGGCCAGGGTATGCCAATCCAAACCAATGTTTATGGAGGAGAGAACACCAGCCCCCACCCGCCCCATTCCCCTCCAACTCCCAAGGTAAAGCCTGATCAGTAAGAGCTATGACAGCACCACAGATGATTTGAATAGCTGGGACTGGGTCATACTGCACTTTTTGTGCCAGAGCAGACACAACTCCATGTGCACTTGAACAAACAAGTGTTAATTACAATATTCCCGCCAGCAAGAAAGAAGGAGCAACGGCACACACGCATGATAGTAACACAGAAGATGATCACGTACCTTCCTCTATCTTTATACAATCGTCGGCAAACCTTGTCCTTTCGTATTCTCAATACGTAAACTGTATATATTACTGCAAATGTATGTCACTGGCCACAGCGCTCAACTGACTTTTCCTCTTAACAAATCACAGAAGTGCTTCTTTAAACCAATGGACAAGCATAAAGGAATAAAGGAAGACATCATACAGGAGGCTACATATGGAATAAAGCAGGTTCCGTCACTGCAAGTGATTTCCAACAAACCTTTTTTTTTGTCATTGCACTTCCAAATACTGCCATATTAACTGTATTAACTGTTCAAATCCCAACTCACAGGGATTTTGTTTTATATCTATCAGTAGTAAAATAAATTTAGAGTCCTGGCTGCTGGAAAAAGCACTTCATTCTCTCTATGTAACCATCTACAATCATAATAATAAGTTTCAGTTTAGAAATACTGAATTCTATTTTTTCATTTATATTTGTTATATAAACATTATTAGTAGTAAACAGCCCTTGGCATGATGACTTTCATTCACACACCCCTCCTGTGTCTTAAATAACAAGACAAATACATTTCAGGGGATTTTGCAGCAGTATAGGCTCGAGTGGGTAACACTTGAGGTGACGGGCCAATAAGTATATATATCTTTCATAAGGCTTTTTATAAGCGTTAAATAGTTTCATAGATTAACATTCGAGTAGTATTATTCCTCTTGGCCCATGCAAATTAGACCAGCCCTGGCCGTTGTACTATGTTGTTCTGAATAAAGAAACGCAGCCATAAGGTTATAAAGAAACGCAGCCATAAGGTTCCAATAATGTGAACTTCTAAATGACTCATCATTTAACACTTACAGAGGCGATATGAAACATACATGCACCTCTTTAGTTGTAGGTTACCCCTCAACCTTTCTCTCTCGCTGCATTATTCCCAGCAAATGCCTTAAAAGAGGAACTTCAAGGCACTACCACATGAACAGACGTACTCATCCACAACATGGCCATCAGTGAATTTCCTTAGCTATAAACTCTGTCATCATACCTAAACAGGATTAAGATTGTGGATGTGGATGTTAACACGTTTAGATGTAGACCATGGCCACTAAACAAAACTGTTAGGTGTTTGGATTTCTTGTTAAGATACAGGTACTTACACCAGGAGTAACAGTGTGTTACTCTGGTCTATCACTGCAGTATCCTTGCCACAGAAAGAATCTTCATGGACATAGTTATTGCTCAGAACTGAAAAAAAACAAACAAAAGCAAAAACAAAAGAGTATTCCATAAAAAGATTGTTTTATGCATTGTTCCACCTCTTCTTCCCAATCTTTTCAGAAAAAAGTACACTTGAGTGCAATTAGCTTGCAGATGAAAACAGCTGTCAATAGAAAATAGTGCTTCTTGTTGTCTGGCTCTGTTGTTTTTAATTCATCTTTTTCTCTTTTTCTTTTCATTTTTGTGCCCCGATTTGCGTCCATCAGAGTTTGGGTCCTACAGTATGAGGGGTAGTAGGCCAGAGGCTTGGCTGGGTGCTGGTTAAGTGCTCTGTGCTGCAGGAGGGTCATTTCTCTTCATGTCACCTGCACTCCACTGAAACCCCAGAGTTCTGTGACGAGCCCGACACTGCAGGGTCAGCGAGAGTCAGCATGACCGCTGCCGTCAGAGAGCTGGACGATGGCGAAGATGAGGAGGAGGATGAAGCTGCTGCTGCACCTGCTTTGGTCAGAGCAAAATTGTAAAATTGCAGTTTTAAAACAATGATTTATTGCAGTGATTAAAAATGCAATGCACAGATATAAACATACAGATATACTAAAATAAAAGATACAGTATAGTCCGTAGGTTTTTGGACAGACATTTTCTTTTTTTTCCTTTGACTCTGTACTCTCACACAGTGGATTTGAAATTAATCAGTGAAACAGAGGTAAATGACACTGGTAAAATAAAAATACAATATCGTAGGTATTTATGCTATATATTCCAGTATACTAAACATGAGTGAACCCCTGATTCAAGACTGGTCTGCATTTTTTCTTTAGACTCAAATCATTTATGTTCGATATGTAATGTAAATGCCTTGATTCACCCAAACACCCAAAGAACATTTGTGACTGGTCAGGACATTCTCAGCACACAATTTAAAAAAAATTCTTCTCCCACCTCCACACTCAGCAAGCTCAGAGACCTTTCCTAATATTGTGTTTTGGAAATAGCAAACAATATATTGTGCAGAATTTAAGCTTTAATTTGAATGTGTTTTCATCTGTACTGGATGAACCATACAGAACTGATTGAACATTTTACTCATTGTCCCCACATATTGGGAGAATTCACAAACCAATTTGATATACTGTATCAGTATCTTAATAATCTTATTATACAGAATGGATATTGGTCAGATCTTAGCCTTAAACACATTAAATAATGTTTCATAGTCACAGTAATTATAAAACTGTAACAGCACATTATGTACTTATCACTGCTTTAACAAAATTTGTCCTTTAATGCAAACCTCAACTGCAAAAAAGTTGGAACAGTATGTGAAACGCAAAAAAAAGAGAAAGAAGTCATTTAAAAATCCACTCTGGTGTGTATTTAAAATAAAACAAATATGTTTTAATGCCAGTAACATACTTCAAAAAAGTAGGAACAGGGTAAATTAGGACTAGGAACATTGTACAATGTTAACAAACATAAACAGTGATGCAATCATGCTTGGGTATAAAAAGAGCATCCAAGAAAGGTGTAGCCCTTTATGAGCAAGGATGGATTGAGGCTCACTGCTTTATTTATTTATTTATTTATTTATGTATTTATTTATTTTTTTAAATTAACTTTTGTTTAACCAGGCAAGTTGTTAAGAACACCTTATGGCCACCAGGCAAGCAGCAGACGCCATTTGAAAAGGGAAATACAAGAGAGTAACTACTGAAGAGCTACAGACAAACCCAATGAGAAAAGAATTAATTACCTAAAAAAAAACAAAAAAAAAAAACACAACAACAACAACAACAACAACAACAACAACAACCACATGGCGAGATCGAGAAACAGGTACAAGTATCATTAAAATGTTCTTTACATAAATCTTAAAATTAGAAATAAATAAATAATTCAGTTTTTTTGTAATGTGTTCTAATCACATGCAACAGCAGACTGAAAGAAGCCATAAGAAGTGTTTTAGGGACTTTCAGTGGAATTGTAAAAGAAAGACCTGGTGTTATATTTAGCAGACACTGGTTGTACATTGTAAGGTGCTGTCTGGCCTGGAAGAGTCCTATAAATTAATGTAAACCAGTGCATATTGCAACAAGTGTGTACGGAGGGGCAAATAGCAAAAGAATAAAGAGAGCTGTCCATTTTGTTAAATGATAAAGAACATCAAGCTTCCGAGGTACACCTTTACATGCCAGTCTGTAAATAGCATCACCGTAATCAAGCAGAAGAAGAATAGCCATTTGAACTAGAGTGATTCTGGCATGAGTGATTCATAACATGAGTGAAAGAACAACGTTTTTTTTTAGGTCGAAAAACACAACTGAATGCTTGTGACCTTCAAGCCCTCAGAGGGCACTGCATTTTGTGATGGATATCACCACATAGGCTCAGGAATACTTTGACAAACTGTTGCCAATAAACACTGACTGTACTATGAACAGCGGGAGCCGTATGTCAACAATGTCCAGAAATCTGAAAGGGCAGATGCATATTACAAATGTATATTATGGTCTGATGATTTTTATGAAAATAATAGATGTCATGTTCTCTGAGTCAAAGAAGAAAAGAACCATCCAGATTGTTACCAGCATAAAGTTCAAAAGCCAGGGTCTCTCATGGTATGGAGACCTGGTACTGGTGCTCATGGCATGGTTAACTTAATGCTGAAAGATGAGTACTTATTTTGGAACAACATGTGCTGCCTTTTAGATGACTACTTTTTCAGGGAAATACATGCTTATTTCAACAGGACAACGACAAGCCACATTCTCTACATGCTATAAAAGCATGCCTGTGTAATCAGGGTGCCTAGACTGGCTTGCCTGCCATGAAAAACATGTGGTGTATTATGAATCACAAAACAAAACAAGGCTTTGTACGATTGCACAGCTAAAGACTTGTATAACAGAAGAACAGCAAAAAAACTTTCAAATCTGGATGAATTGTCCAACTTTTTTGGAATTGAGGTCTGTAGTCATAATGTGATATATAGTTACAGTGTATGTATCTGGGTGTTACCTTGCTCATAGAAAATGATCCCAAGTCCACACAGTGATGTATATAGATTTTATTTATTTTTAGATTTTATTTTTACTAATACTTATTACTTATTCCTGACATTCCTGTAAGTGTAAAAAGGAGATACGAAGTCCATGTTATGTCTAACACTGTGCACTTCAAGAGAAACTGTTTCATTCCAAATCCAGTGAGCAGAACAGAGCTGTGTCCCTGTCAAACTATACATTATCTACAATAATACAATATTATATACAACTTATATTTCAGATCACTTACTTTCTCGCTCCTTTTTTTTCATTCGCTTTCGTCGTCTGTCAATGGAGGCCACTTCAGATTTGAGGGAGAGATAGTGATTCCTGATGTCCTGCAGTTTCTCCTGAAGGAATGCTATTCTCTCTAGACTACTCATCTTTTCCAGATCCGCTGGAAAAACAGGTTTGAAAACAGAAACAAGGCCAGATATTTTAATTTCTATATCACAATATATTTCTATATTTAATATCTATATCAATCAGGATTCCCCAAGATGCTTAAACCTTTATTATTCTAAACCACACATCACTTACACATTTGAAAACTCCACTTGTAGATGCGGGCTCCTCGGCTGTTGCTGTGCTGCTCTTTGGGCTGTGAGTGATCTGAGTCACCATGTTTGTGGTATTTTTGGGACGGGAGTGTCCGACCAGAGCACTTAGGTGGGGTGATTGCCTTTATGTCAGCTGTGCTGCTCTTGGACGTGGGTGATTTGGCAGTGCTGTCGTTGATGGACTGGTCCTCACTGTCACTGCTGTTGGCTAGAGAGAGAGAGAGAGAGAGAGAGAGAGAGAGAGAGAGAGAGAGAGAGAGAGAGAGAGAGAGAGAGAGAGAGAGAGAGAGAGAGACCTAATCCAATTAACTAAACCTCTGGAAAGGCCTATCGTCTTTTCTTGTATGCTAACAACTTATTACATGTGTATAAAAAAATTGCAACTACAAAAACATTTTTCTTCACAGATCAGTAATTACAGCAAAATGCTGGAGATCTAACTAGTGGATAAAACAGGTGGGAACTGACACTGACTAATTTACCCCAGTGAATAAAGGTGGGTTAAACAAACAAAAAACAGCAATTTTTACCTGTTTTGTGGTTCTTTTTGGGATGCAAGTTTAGGGTCTTATGACTTCGCTTATGTTTCTTTGATGTTCCACCTCCCTGGGACTCCTTGTGCCGTTTCTGACTGGAGGATGAGGCTATGAAATGGACAAGAACTTAGCAAAGATGCCAAGGAAATCACATCACAATTTTCACAATGAATTTTCTTACTGGCCATTTAATCGGGGACATCTGCCTGATGAAGTTGGAACACCCTGGTCAAATTACATGTTTCGTTTTTCTAAAACACAGCCTCTGCAGCGAACAAACTTAAATATTGCATTTTTTCTGCAAATGTAGTGCATAGTATGTATTAATTTGAATTTAACATGTATGCCATAGATTTTGCACATTTTTGCTTTTTAATTTTTTTTCCATATGTTAAATTCAGAAACAGTAAGAAACAGTAACTGTGTGTTGAAATACGCAGAAGTGTGTTCTCTGTATTTGCTTTTAAAATAACAAAAACGTAATTTGACTAGGGGCGCATGGACTTTTGCATATGACTGTAGGTGCACAGTGTAGGTATTCAAATATTGACTGTTGCTGTGTAATTTATTAATCAAAATTAATTGAAAGACCACTATAGCACCACCACTAACCAGCTATTATTATGGGTGGTTGATCGTTCTCATCGCAGGACGAGGGCGCTGTGCTGGTGAAAGTGTATGGTATATGTATCTGTGTATGTCACAGGTAGGAACCTAATAATCTGTCAGGTCAGTGCACAGTACAATCTAATTTTAAAAAACAAAGTGCCTACCTTTGGCTTTCTGTTCACCTTCCTGCTGGCTGCTGCTACTGAGAGTCAAGCTGCAGTTGCTGTTACTGGACAGGTTGCCGTCAAAGGCTTTGGAGGGGGATGCGGCTGCTTCTTCCTGAGGCAACTCTTGAAGCTCACAGCCCACACTTTCCACCTCCACCATGCTGCTGTCTGACTCGCTGCGGCCACCAACGCATTCCTCTATCAGGGGCCTAGCCGGTGACTCAGCCGGGGAGCAAGAGGCCAGGACAGAACTCTGAGGGGGTGGGGAGGACGAGTGCGTCTCAGCCAGTGCTTCTGTGGACTCAGGCGTGGTGGGTGGCGTGTTGAGGACGGAGTTGCTCCCGCTGCTGGGGTACTCCTGGCTCTTTTCCTGCGGGGTCTCTTGTGGTTCCTCGACAGGTTCCTCTTTCTGACTGGGCTCTGAGCGAGGCTCATCCAGGGCATGCACTGCTGGGGGAGGAGAGTTGGCCGCCTCTGTGTCCGAATCTGAAAACAACTCTTTCAAGGTCTTCTTAGGCCACTGGGCCTGGATGCTGGACCACACGTCCTTCTGGCCTTTGGCACGACAGCTGGGAGCTCGTTCGTCCATTCCGGCTGCCATTTTGGCACGTTTCTCAGGGATCTCCCAGAATCCAGAGGACCGCCCGCCCTTGGTCTTCTCCTTCAACCCATTGTACTTCTTCGAGGGCGAGCCTTTGTTTTTGGGGTGTACTCGAGGCTCCTCTTTGGCCTGACTGTTTGTTTGAGGACCACTCTCATCTTCAGAGCTGCTGCTGGATTGGCCTCCCCGGTCATCCACAGCACCAGAACTTCTCTCATCCAGCTTTTTCGGTGAACTGCTGGGCAACCAGTCTGCCCCCCTACTGCCCCTTGTTTTGCCTTTACATTGGCTTCTAGGGGTGCGCTCAGTTGGTCCTTCAGGTTTTCTCCTCCTGGTGCTGGGCACCTCACCCTCATTCTCTAGCTGTCCCTTCAGCTTGCCTGTATCTGTGCTATCTTGGCTGGCCGGTTCCTCAGTGCTGCTCACATTTGCTGAAGCCTTCATATCTTCAGTGGACAGCCCACTCTCCCACTGAGTGGGTGTGTGAGGACGTTCTGGTGGACCTCCTCTTCGAAGGCTTAGCCGACCTCCTGGACCCTCATCGTCATGATCACCATCATCCTCCTCGTGTTCGCTGTCATCTGTGGAGCTCTCAGATGCTGCAGGAAATACACAAATAGGTATGATTAATGATGGATAACCTCTCTTAGGGCCCTTTCACACCTACTAAACCAAAAACTGTGGGTCTCTGTCGGATTCCAGGCAAACCCTGGCTCAGTTCACACAGCTAGCTACTGACTGCATAATCTGCCTGTTTTAACATTTGACTCTTTACAGACGCTCAAGTCATTCTAGCAGCATGAGCTGCTGCTAATACCAACAGACAGTATTTCTAATTTTATTCAGTGTAATTGGTAAGAAAAATAAAGAATATACAGTTGTATGCAAAGGGTTGGGACGCCCCAGTCAAATGACATTTTATTGATTGTTTAAGTAAATATTTTCAATGATTTTTTTATTTTCTAAATTTAACATATTGGAAAAAAATATATAAAATGTGGCCATTGCAAAAGTTATGGCACATTTTTTGTTATTTTATGTTGTATTATTATCCAATATGTTATGTTACAAACTAAAATATGTGCAAAAATGCCACATTTAATGTGTATAAGGATAGACATGGATTCTATACAGTGATATGCTAGTTAAAAGGTCCTAACTGAGTGTTAATTGGTCAAGAATTTGGTGTGGATACAAGCAAACACCCACGGGTATAATCTGGGACAGGTCAACATTTGCAAATTTTAAACCAACTGAACCAAATAAATAAGACAGAAATGTTATGAAAACCCAAACTGTGGTGTGAAAACAGCCTTAGACTAAAGCTTTAATCAGGACTGAAATTTAGGTTGAATCTGACTGTAGCCCGATAAAATTCTGTTCAGAGCCATCCCTGACCCACCCACCAACCAAATAAAATTTATTATTATTATTATTATTATTATTATAAAAGCATCCTAAATGCTTTTACTCTGGAAACACTTTACATTATGCAGTCTTTTCATGCTGGCTTTTGCAAGCCAAGTGCACAATTGACTACAGTGAGAGTGATTAAAAAACTGTTTAAGGTAATAAAAGTTAGGAGGAAGAACAAAGAAGGGAAAAAAACACTAAAGCGGGGTAAATGCAGATTGAAATCCATCCAAGTATGTATGACATTGTGACAGTGAGGGCCAGACTAAAGTAAAGCATGAATTGCAGTAATAAAATGGGCCTGCTTCTCTAAAATTACCTTGGAGGCCATTGAGATTGGAGGCAATCTCAACAGATTTGACCAGAGTCTGCTGCCCCCCTTTATCATCACATTCTTCCATCTTGGGACAAATATCATTGCCTGAGTTGGGTTTAGATGATCTGTTGATGCGATTTCTGGAGGGAGAAAGGTTATCTCTTTCATTTAACCTCTCTATTCGATCTCTTTCTCTTTCAGCTTTGTTCTGAAAAACAAAAATGTATAAATTTTAACAGAGCAAAGTAAGAACAACCAAAAATATGAGAAATTGTGCTAATATTAGAACCATTTTAAAAAAGCAGAAATAAAACATTTCTCCAGCCAGCAGCCAGGCGTGTACCTTTATTTTTTTCCGATGCTTTATTTTGGGAACATTCTTATTAGCTGGTCGCACAATCTTGTCAGCTTTGATCCATTCATCATACCTAACAAGAAAGAGGCAGTAATGTAAATAGAGATTCAGCTCACACTAACATAATAGAACAATCACACGTGGACCAACAGTTACCTCTAAAATGACATTTCAACATTGATACATTACACAGATCTCAACGTATTCATTTGGTTTGTTTTGATAGTTCACATGATGATGTTAACAGATGCTGTTAAAATCTGTGCATGTAAATGTTAGACTCAGCCTACAAATTTTTGAGCTTTTTGAGCTTGATGTAAATTACTGAATGAACCTTTCAACACGACTGACAACTATGTAGGACTCAGAAGAGTTTGGCCCAAAAGGACCAAACAGCATGTGTCTATGCACTATCCACATTCGGTCAGCAAGTATACTTTTTTAATAATATGTGCCGATAGGATTCTTTAGTGCAATGCTGCACAAGAACCACTTTTGGTGTTTTTTTTGTTCTAAGGCCTCCTTTGTGGATGGTAAGCACCACTGCAACCCTCCTTGCCCCCCCTCGCCCTTCTCAGCCCTGCCACTCGTCTCCCTGATATTCAGTGCAAATGCACAGTCCGCCGGCCTATTCTCTTCTGCAGTATAAAGCAAGTGTTTCCCATCTCCAATACTAGGACTTCTTACTAAGGGATGCATGACCCAACAAAAACCAACAGCAAGGTCATGATGGGGTCATCAGCATTACTGTGACAGCGGAGGGTCTTGAAGTGCAGCCTATGGCTACTCAAAATGTCAGCACTGCTTCAATAAAATGTCAGAAACATGCGCCTGGCTTCTCGTCATCAACCACTAGATGGCCACATTGAAACTCTGTACACACCCTTGTGAAAGAAAGGCGTGCTTTGCAGCAGAACTAAAACAACTACAACTAGAAGATTTTTTTTCCCACAGGAGGAGCCTATCTACCGCGTTCTAACCTTTTGCAATATGGAAATATGGGAGTTGCCAGGGTCCTGCCTTACCTGACGTTCCAGCCACAGTAGTGCACCAGGTAGAGCACCTCTCCCCCCTCCAGGTCTGACTCTTTCACAGTGGCTTCGTACGTCTTCTGATTGCGGCCTCGCCCATACCTCACCTGCACCTTCATGCCAGGGGGGTAACACTCAAACTCTTCCCCCTCCTCCCACTCCTGACTGCTGTCATCCCTGCAAGAAAGACAGTTCAGCACTTCCTTGCCCTAGGCCTGCCCCAAAATATAGCAGAGCAAACCCACCCCCACCCAATTACCTTTCTGACTGAGCCTTGATCTTATACAATAATAAATAACTGCCATTCTCTTTCCCTATCATTGAGTTAAATCTTTATAAAAATCCTATTCTTTGGACTAGCCGCTATGGGGTCATCAGCCGACTAATAAAATCCTATGAAGAAGCCTGTTGATCTAAAAGTATATCTGTATTTGCTTAAAGGATCTGTTCAGAGAAATAGTGTAACGTTACTGATACAGTGTAAGACTAGTCCTGCGTGTGTGTGTTTACCCCTATGAGGGAGGGGGGGGTGCAGACTGCAGAGGTAGGCACAGCAAAGCACAGCATTGGGCAACATGTTTCTGACTTCAGTCCTAGAGGCCCATCTGCACAGAGGATTCATGTTTTCCCCACATGGGTGGGCTGCAGTAAGTTTAAAAGGGGTTTCCAAAATATACATATACAGTACTGTGAAAAAGGTTTACCTGCCAAGCACATTATTTAAAGCCATTTATCTTGGAAATAGGTGTGTTTGGGCTTGTCATTCATATCAGTTTATATCTTGTGAGCTAGTTTGAGAAAGTTTGGTTCCAGATGCTTCCTCAACACCATCATATGGGTTTGTTCAACTGCATCACAAGCACACTTGACTTAACATAAGGAAACACTGAGCAATTCAGGTATTGACAACTACAATTAATACTGGCCTGCTGTGAGGAGAGGTTTGGAAATCTTTATGGTAACTGTAATGAACACACTGATGTACATAAAATTATTACAAATAATATAGAATATTACTAATAATTACTCTTTTTTGTATTAATATTATTTGCATATATTGTAATGTTAGTGTGTTTTTTTTAAGCAAATAAATGCTTACTGACCAGATAAATAGCTTTTTAAATACATTTTCCTCAGTTGCCTGTTAAAGATTTGGCACAGTAGTGTATCTACATTTGTTGTCCATTTTATCAGGTCCACTGAACATGTAAGAGGCCCTTGTAGTTCTGAAATTACAGATTGTAGTCCATCTGTTGCACCACTTTGACGTGTTCTTTGACCCACCACTGAGCAGGTATTATTTGGATGGGGGATTATTCTCAGCACCAACAAATCAGTATTTTACTGCTGGGCTAAAAAATAATCTGCCAGGCAAAAATATACAGCCAACAATATCCTGTGGCCAGAAACTGGCCACTGAAGAAAGACAAGAGGATCACTAACACCTCACAGCACTGTGTTGCAACAGATGAACCAAAAAGTTAGGTATGTCTATAGAATGTATAAGTCATTGATGAACAAGGAAAAGGAAGTCTTACAAATTATGCAGAGAAACAGATAGACTCTCTAATTGCATAACTATAAAATGCATTTATATGGTAAGTGGACCTGATAAAATGATAAGGGCAGGGCTTATGTTATGCATGCACCCACATTTAAATTACTGGGCTTTTAATAAATCACTTACAAATTTCAGGGGTTGGGATTTTTGGGGTTTACTTGTTTAAGGGCACCATGGCAGGCAAAAGATTAAAAAGATTCCAGGCTTTTTTAAAATTTAACAGTTCTAACATACAAAACGCTGAAAATCACATTTAATTTTGACCAAAAATTGTATAAAACCTGAAAATACTTTTCATATTTTTACACCCCGATCAGCTTACAGGTCGCTCATAACTTTGTGGGCCATATTACATTTTTAAAACGTAAGCAACACAAGATAGCTCTATTTGTTCCCCAGCATTGCAATCTTGAGCATGTGAAAACTATGCTAACAGAGAACAATGCATCATTCATTTTCCCACCATTTAATTAAACAGGTGCATAGTGCACAAACGATACTTAATAATTAGATAACGTTATGACATGCTGGGAAAACAAAACTGTTTTGTACAAGAGGGCCTCCAGGACTAAAAAACACTCGCAGAGAGCATTTCACAAATCACATTAGACATCAGAGGTTCAAGCAAAGTTAGACATAGTGGACAGTCCACTACTGTAGCTGTACTAACTGCTGCTTCACATATAGGTTATGTCTTCTTTCAGCATAAACAAAGCAGTCCCAACCCCAGAAGCTGCAGCAACAGGTTAGAAGGTGCTAGGCAGGACCCTGGTTTTAGAGCACCAAAATTCAAGCAAAAGCAACGGATTTGAGGATTATACTGTGAGATTTCGACTTGGTGGAACCTTCAGTGTCTCCCAACAAACAGCAAAACTGTGTCAATAGTTATTCAAACAAAAGTGAATTAAAGAGAAAAAACAGTGTCAAGTCACACACACCAAGTGTGGTGCAATATCAGCACTAATAAAATCTAATTCAGAGCATTCGAACCAACAGCACAAATCCCAACACAGGACAAGTGCTAATCAGAGTAGCATGTCTACAGGCAAAAGACTACAGTTAGGCCAGACAAGTACTGAAGCACACCACAAAATACATTAAACCTCAGGCAGTCAGCTACATTAACCCTACCTTAGAAAAAGAACAAAGCATTAAAGTCCAAACATGGGGACTAGCACATATTAAAAGGCATCTTTTTAAAAAAACATTATGAAGTCAAGGAATCAAGTCATAAATGCTAGCTTCAAGCTCATTCACTCAGCCGAACTCTACATGGCTGGATACAAAAAAGGTAGCTAAATGCAAGGATTTGGGAAACAAAGCTGTGGGAGGCGAAGGGTAGTGGAGATAATTATCGTGTGTTACAAATGTTCAGTCCATCTGATGAGATCCAAAACTCACTCTCTTGCAACAAAAGAAAAAAAAGAACAATAGAGAGAAGGAGAGACAAACAGAGATCACAAAGGAGAGATCTGTGAGCTGCTTCCCTGGATTAGTTTAAAGAACTAGTTTAAAGAACACCTTTAAAATGTTAGCATTGCTAACAGTGAACTAAATTTAGTACGGGCCATTAAGCATTTAAGTTAAGACTGTATGCTACTAACTTTTTAATCACTGTTTAAACAGATTTGGTGTGTGAAATACCCCCTGGTATTTGGAGGGTCCCAAGTTGGCTGGTTACTAACTACCCACAACAGCGCTGATGCCAGCTGCAGTGGCAACAAAATTCTTCTTCTGGAAAGGCTCTTTTCTAGTTTGGTAATGCATTCTTCCGCACATTAACTGAGAACTTACATATCCTGTCTTGTGTCTTCGGTTTGAGAAACGAGTGATAATTCACTCTTTCAGATTTACAGATTTATTTTTTACAAAGCTGACACAACAACACAGCAGTGGTGTGGGATGACGAGCTGCAGAAAAAATGCCCATAGCAAAATCTGTAACGGCAGTATTTCGTGGGAAAAATACTCAAATGGGAGCCCCTTACCTAAATGGCTGAGCCAGTCTTCTTTCGGTAAATCGCTTATCTGCCACTGTGTAGTCACTTACAGTCTGAGTTAATATTAGTCCAGTTTGTTATTAAGGGAGCATCAGGAACTGGCGAATGGGCTCTTGGCGTAATAATAGCATTTAGCTTCAAGTTGGCCTTTAGCAATGCAGCCCGTTAGCCAGGCCCTGCCTGTGGTGCACCTCCATCGGTCAGCTGTGTCACTCAGCAGCAGGGTCTCACAGCCTTATGCTTCAACCAAGCCAGAAAAACACAAAGTTGCTGCTAATAGCACCATGAACAATGATGATATTTCCTAAACTCTGACAAAGTCTGACCCTCAGAGATGTAGCGCAAGTGAATGAGACGGATGTGCGAGACAAATGACTTGAGAAATTCAGATGTGAAACAATATTCAGCACTGTTGCCAAGCTATAGAAACTGCCGTGTGCTTATGTTTACACACCACAGGCTTTTATATATATTGTTCTGTTCTTTTTTTTTTTAACAGTTTTGCACAATAAAGATATATTACATTTACTTAAGTACAATACTAAATATACATAGTAAATCTATTTTCTGTAGCATGTAATATATATAATTCAACATGTTAATGCCATTCAGTCAAGCTGAGAATGTATAATTTGTGACACAGAACATTTTTATGTGATTATAACATGATTTTATCAAAATTAAATATTTTAAAAATATATTTGTATAATATCAGGACTTCTAGGTTAGTTAGGTTAGATAGAGTTGGCATCGGCATATATTTAAGGACTGGGTATCTGTATCGAAAGGGAAAAAAGGGGCATCAGTGCATCTCTACTCAGAATAACTTCACTGGCATTTAGCAGGAATGCTAATGCTAAAACACAATGTATTGATTCTTCTACCTACTACTACTAACTACTTCTAATAATAATAATAATAATAATAATAGTAATATTATTATTTATTTTAGTAACAGTAGTGGTCTGTGGTAGCAGACGAATTGCTATTAAACACTGACCAGGATGCGCTTAAATCAGTGTATATATTATGTAGATAAAATTCACACTTGGGGAAAAAAGGCACACTTTTCATGCGTTTTTTCAAACACCACCTAGCTATTGGCCCCAAGGTAATTAGAGTTTGAGATCCCTGGTCTTGAAGATCTGCTTTAAAGTTGTTGCACACTACAGGTACTGTTTCTTTCTCTACCCATAACAGACATCTTTGTTAGGGTTTTCTGAATGGTTGATTAAACTGAATAAGCTAACCAAAAAAGAAAAACTTCTCAGTGAATCAGCAGCTGTCAATCTGCATAATTATGCGCATTTTAAATCCTACTGTTTTCTCTTACAACACAAACGATTCAAAAAACTCAATCGGTCAGATAGATAGACAGATAGATAGACAGATAGATAGACAGATAGACAGACAGATAGATAGACAGATAGATAGATAGAGCCCAACAAATTTATCTCTCCCCTCTGAACTTGTCACAGTGGTATGATGGGCAATGTAGCCTGATTTTGCAGTTTACACCTACCCTGACAGCTCCTTGTTCTGCTCCTCACACGGCTCCTCCTTTACATTCTCTGAGCAAGGACATTCTGTTGTTGGTTCAGTTTCTTTAGTCTTGTGTTTGTGTGACTCTTCATCAGTACCATTTTCTTCTTCATCACTGGAACCCTTGTCGTCCTCCTTTAAGCTGCTTGTGTCCACTTTGGTCCTGCAAGGCCCTGCTACTTCAGATGTCTCCTCCTATTGAGAGATACAGTAATTATACACGTTTAACAAATTTGTCTGATCTAATAAGTATCAGATGCCTTACTACAGAAACATTCTAACACGACATCTTATCTGTTTATTTACCATGATAACTTCAGTTAGGACTGAATTTAAAACAGCAGCTATTACAGAACAAGATTTCCTAAATTAATTTATCTTATCCTAACTCTAGATATGTAAAGAGTATTACAGAAGAATCCTAGTTTTTCCTAAACACTAACTGCTAATTGTGGTATTCATAGGCAACCATAACAGGTAGCATTACACATTCACTGGCATTAACCAGTGTAATGCTGTCACATTTATTCACATTGCAAAATGTGTGTCAATGTTAATAAAACATTCTGAATAAAAAACTGCAGCAATGGCAGCAAATAATCAGAAAATTTGATTTAAACGTGGCTGTTTATTTGAAAAAATACAATAAAATTACAAAAATTACATATTACACTTAATTTTGGAATTATATCTTATTTTACAGCATCTTATCTTATAGCATCATGTAAGACAATGCCTGACATGCTATCCTGATCATGTGATAGGAGTTTTTATTTCATTTCTTAAGATGTAAGCTTTGTATTACTCTTTGTGGAAGACCACACTCACAGCTCAATGTCAAAATTGAGTTGAGTTATGCTGGCTCTGAGATAAGCTAAATGATATTTAGGTTACTGTATTTGCTAAAAGATTTTTAATACAATGTATGAGGATAAATTAACGCTACAGAAAATGGGAAAGATCAATTAGCTAACCAGTTATACATTCCTGTAATATAGCCACAGAATTATAACTCTTAGAACTACTGTTTCAAATAACAAGTTTAGTCCGAATTAACAGTGTCAGAGAGCTACTGGAACGTAGAGGTGAGTAGTAACAAGTTACATTTACTCATTTACATATTGTCACAAAAATTGTCTCGAAAATGGTAACTTTACAGGAGAAGAAAAAAAAAAAAAAAACTTTCTTGCTTTGGAATGGAACTAGATGGACATTAATTTGTATGATACACCATCACTGGTATTTGTGAGAAAACTCAGTTAAATTTTAGTCATTCACACATTCCCAGTGCTCCCAGTTCCTTTAATGGGATTCATTTCATTCTGTCCTGGTGGTTCAGCACCAGGACTGCTTTGCTGTTATTAAATTTGGAGCGCTAGTATTTGTTTTTAATCTAAAGGATCCCAAAAGAAGAGAAGAAAGAAGAACAGCACCCTTCGAACATCAGTTTCTATGCTGATGCTGAACGTACAAAGAAGTTTTACTGCAGTTCTATAGGGAACTGAGTTTTTTTTTTTACATGAGTCATTATTTCTATGAAGTAATAATATGCTTACTTCACTGAGGGTTAAGGCCACTCTACTCATCTCTGTTGAGATTCAGAGAAATTAGCTGTTGATACCTTTACAACAGACTGGCTGGTGGAAACGTCTGATTCTTGCTCAGGTTTTGGCTCATCCCCGGCTTCGTCCAAGGCTGAAACAGCAGCGCTGCTGCTGGCCTCCACTACCCCATCAACGCTGCCCTCAGCCTGAGAACTCTGCTGCTCAACTGCTTTATATGGGAGGTCCATTCTGAATGTGATCCCTGTTGATGTGCAGTAGTCTTCAAAGCCATACAGATACCTGCACACAAAATGTAAAGACGCATAATAGGTTACAATGCTGTCTGTGAGCTCAGAAAGCACTCGAACATGTGTTCAGTCCAAGCTGGACTGGCTCTTTAGATTTAGCTGTTGATTCCCACAGACAAGTTTTACACTTTTAGAAAAGAACAGAAAACTAACTCAAAACACACTTCTAAGAGAAACTAATGGTAATTTTTATTGTACATAAGTGCATACTTTCTGTAGGCGCATTTGACATTGTAGCCTGCTGCTGAGTTCAGCACAGGGATTCCCAGATCTTGATAAACTTGCTTCCAGACAGAGCCACTCTCAATCTGCCACAAAGAACAGCATAAAAAAGAGAATTAGGAGCAGAAAATAACAGCGTGAAATCAAAGACCAGAAAACAACGCTAATTTAAAGTGACATTTTGTAAGTTTTGAAACAGTGTCCCAAAGGGACAAGAAATTAAAACTAGAACTCTCATGATTAGTTGATTAAAAATAATAATCATCAATTAAAATCTTCTTGATGAATCTACAATGGTTATTTGGCAATTAGCATTATGATAATGCATATTTTCCTCTTATTCTTGTAAGTGTTTCTTACAGGAAGAAAAGGATCCTGTTTATTGTATTAATCATTTTTATTGTTTTACAATAATGCATTTTAGAATCTTTGAAAGGCTCTGCACAGTCTGTTATTACGTAGGTGTTTAGTCCTTGGCTTTGTGAAAATTTTATAAGTGCGTAAAATCAAGAGTTCTTGCTGAGGCAGGTGTAATACAAAAGGGCTCCTACAGAGTACAGGTTTGCAACACATTCCAACTCATGACACCTGAGCAAAGTAATCAAGAGGCAATTAACTAGCTCATTTGCTTTTTTGTGCTTTTTAAATATTCAGTAAAAATAGATCTTTTCAAGCTGCTGAATAAAAAAAATAGTAAACTGGAGTATAGTACACAACTAATACACTCAAAAAAGTACACTGGAGTAGTGTGCTAAATAACTCAATCATTAATATGATATAGTTTGATTAGGTTTTTTTTTTTAATTTGTGTTTGTTAAATAGGCTGTAGAGAGACTGTATTATCATATCCATGTATATCACTGCCTGGTTTTAGTTTCAGTGCACAGTGTGGCACAAGCTAATGTAGCTGAGCTAAAAAAGTAGGTTACCCATTACGCTATTAGTATCAATATCGGCAAGTACTTAAAAACATACTCATATTTGTACTCAATCTGAGAAAAAAGGTACTGATGCATCTTTAGTATAAACCATTACTCACACTGTCAAACCCTCCAAGCTTGTGCACCAGCCTATAGAGCTTAAAGAGGTTGAGATTCCTGTAGCCTAGCACTGGCCTTTTGTTGATAGGGGTGCCTGAAAAGAGAGAATGGGTGAAAGACCATGCTTGATTCTTTAGTCACACACAAATACATATGAAAATGCCACCATTCTTGGTTAAGATATAATTCAGAAATTTTAACTCAGACTAAAAATCATGGTTTTTCCACTGAAACTTTACGCTTACAATATACTGAGGCTAAACCCTTACTGGAGCAGGATTAGTACGAACCTGGAAGGTACTGTAATTTAAGCAATTATCAACGAGATCCGTGATCTGTGATTAGTCTATAGTTTTTTTTTACAAGTCTGACAAGTCTCTTCTGTTACTGGCTGAAACCAGAGCTCCCTTAGTAATAACAGCACTCAGTAATTCACCTCATGCTAATGGAATAACTCATCCACCTTGAGTAATGATTTGCCAATGCAGCATATATCACAAAGTATAAGAAAGGCTTTCCTGTAAAATGTGAGCAAACCTCTCACTGTGGTTTCCGTCCCAAAAGTGTATGTCTATGGTATACCGAGGCTAAGACATCAATACCCACCTCTGTCCTCCATGAATTTGTAAAGCTGTTGGAGGAAGTTCTCTCTCTCCTCTGGGAATGGCTCCACCTCCTCCTGCACAGTGGAAAATGAAATTAGAGTCAGTGCCAGTTAGTCTATGCAGAGGGCTCCTTTTGGATGACGCGAGAGTAAAAGAGAGGAAGCTCCATAAGCTGAGGTGTACCAGACTTGGATTTTAGAAGGAAAGGTCTAAAATGAATACACAAAAGGAGTGGGTAGTTAGTGAACTGAATTTTGAATATATTAAAGAGAGTTTTAGCAGGAATACCAAAATAAAGAGTGTTGCAAATTGTCCAGAGGGCCATATAAAAGGCACCGAGCAGAGTGTCTGCATCTTTCATTGTCAGCATTTGATGAAGACATTACATAAGGTGAAAATGTATAATATTACAGATGTGGAAAAAAAGTTTTAAAAGAAAGTTTTTGATCAAAGAGTACACCGAAGTTGCTAACTGCTTTTAATAGCCAAGATCTATATCGAGAGCAAAGTCAGAGAATTTTGTTACTATGGACAAGATATTAAATTCTTCCCTTTATTTAATGCAAGTACTATTTATACCAAAATTCTTGAGTAAGGCCTTCTAGAGAAGTGAAACTAACATTACACAAAGAATGTGTCCTTAACTGCCTGCTGCCATCTCATATTAAATCTTTTTTTAATCAGCTTAACATTTTATGTCTACCCAGAAAAGGGTGTCATTTAACGTTTTCCATTACTAACATGATTTCTCAATAGTGCTGTTACATTTAATTAGAAATTCACTGGTTTTATTTTGTTTGCATCACAAAGTACCATTCATTTACTTTAGTCGTATTTTACTGTTACTCCGAGCAAAAAATATTGCAATCTGAACTTTCCATTGCAATCTGAATTCCACTTTGAAAGTCTGTGCACCCTTGCTCAGAAATCACATTGCATCAAACAAGAAAAAACACGGTGACTCAGAGAAAGCTCGAATTCCACAAGCTGATCCATTTTATTTTGATCAGTGCGTTCAAAAGGATAGGTTCAGTGGCAGTGTCTTTGGTTGGTTAACGTCATTGCCATTACAAAACTGTGCAAGTCGGTTTTAGGAAGAAATTTCGGTAATACCTTACTGTAGGGTACAGTTCATAAGGCTACATGACACCTACATAAGCTTGTCATGATAACTGACATAACCCTTCATAAACGTTTATTAATGCTTATTCCAATAGACATTATTCGCTATAGATGTTACACTTTAGATTTTTGTTACACTTTAGCCAATTTTGATCAAAGTAACCTTTATGACAGAGAACGCCTATTGGAATAAGCATTAATAAACATTTATGTAGAGTTACGTCATTTGTCATGACAAGCTTATGTAGATGTCATGTAGCCTTATGAACTGTACCCTACAGTAAGGTGTTACCGAAATTTATTCTTAAGATCACTTTGTGAATAAGGCCCATCAAAAAAAGATTAGCACAACAGTAAAGTGACTGTACTGATACATAAAATGATGTGGTACTGCTGTCCCAGAATTCACCATTGCAAAACAGTTTTGGTTCTAAAATCTAACTGGCCATGCCACATTCAAATCTGTTACTCAATATACTCAATATACACACATTTGTGTACACATATACACGCACACACACAACATATACACACTTCGGAAAACCACTGTCTGCGAACACAGTTCGTCGCTGCAACCACAAATGCAATTTAATACCATGCAAAGAAAAAAAAACATTTATAAACAGGATCCAGAACACTGCTGCCAAGCCCGAGCTCATTTAAGATGGACTGAAGCAGAAAAGTGAAGTAGAAAAGTGATCCAGAACACTGCTGCCATGCCCGAGCTCATTTAAGATGGACTAAAGTTGAAAGTGTTCTGTGGTCTGACAAATCAAAATTTAAAATTCTTTTTGGAAATCACAAACACTGCGTCCTCCGGCACAGTTCAAAAGCCAGCATACTTGATGGTATGGGGGTGCAATAGTCCACATCTGTGAAGGCACCATTAATGCTGAATGATATATACACAGGTTTTGGAGCAACATATGCTGCCATCCAGACGACGGCTTAAGGGAAGGCCTTGCTTATTTCAGAAAAACAATGCCAAATACATTCTGCACGTATTACAACAGCATGCCTCTGAAGTAAAAGAGTCCTAAACTGGCCTGCCTGCAGTCCAGACCTGTCACCCACTGAAAACATTTGGAGTATTATGAAAGGGAAAATGCAACAAAGGAGACCCTGAACAGTTGAGCAGCAAAAATCCTATATCAAGCAGGAATGTGAAAACATTTCACTTTCAAAACTATAGCAGGTGGTCTCCTCAGTTCCTAAACACTTACAGAATGTTGTTTAAAGAAGAGGTAATGCAACACAGTGGTAAACATGCCCTGCCCCAACTTTTGTGAAACATGTTGCTGGCATCAAATTCCAAATGTACATTTTTCAAAAACAGCAACATCTCTCAGTTTTAACATTTGATATGTTGTCTTTGTACTATTTTCAATTAAATATAGGGTTTAAATGATTTGCACATCATTGCATTCTGTCTTTATTTACAATTTGCACAGCATCCCAACTTTTTTGGAAATGAAGTTGTAAAAACATTGTGTCCACATGAGAAATAACTAAGCATGACAACAGTCTAGCAACTAAATATCCACTCCCGCTGACATTCTAAATGAAAACAACAACATAGCCTTTCTAGAAGACACCTCAAAATAATTAAAAATAGGGTTGAGCTGACAGACAATGGCATCGTCCATCATCGATGGCTGACCGATATCTCACTGAAAAGAATGCAGGTCAAGTTTTGAAAACCAACACGTGTATTAATGCTGTGTTTCACATTGAGTCCGAAACTGACACGTTGTACGGATGTGTTAAAAATCTGGCTGACCAATCAGAGCTCCTTTGTCATGGTTGCAGCCTAAACAAATGTGCTTGAGGACGGTGGCAGAACAGCTAATCTTGCTTGTAGCAGAGCACAAAGCTTATAGAAAAAACAAATGCTGAATAAAAAATTGCAGAGGTTAAAGAAAATGTGGACGACCACAGATGAAAGGCAATGATTGATGGTGAGTATGTTACAGCAACTATATTTAACCCCTTAAAAACCCAGGCTTGTTACAACCCAAGGCTTATTATTCAGTAACTACAGAGACTTCAATGCAAACTGGTTGACGTAATCTTAGGTTATAAAACTGTGTAATAAAACTTTGGGCCCACTGGCAGGCCCTGGCCATTTAACCATAGTTCATTCGCCCCTTTTTAATGAAAGGAACAACAAGCACAAGCAGTGCCTCAAATTCACCCACTGACAGAGGGAAATACCTGTAGAATCACTTGTCATGCAGCTAGCTCTTGTAAGAGGCTGTGGAACTCCCCGTGTTGTCTTTTTTTTTTTTAAGAACACGATGTACCCAGTGCCTACATAGTTTAGTTGCAGTGCTTAAAACAGTTTTCAGAGTACTTAGAAAAAACACAATGGACTAGGTGTGAAGGTCCCACCAACTTAAAAATCATCTCTACCTGAAAACATACTTGGTGTGAATGGGCCCCAACGTGTACCGCGCTGGTTCACATGGCACAGCAGTATTGCTGAGGTTTTAAAACACTGTGTACGGTATGTCTGGCTAATGAAATTGCGTGAATTCTCACCTCTTCCTCCTCACTACTGCCATCATCCTCCTGCACCTCTTCATCTTCCTCCTCATCATCCTCACTGCTGGAACTTTCATCTTTGACCTCTGTCCTCCATATGCTGGGCACAGTACCATTTCTCTGGAAATCCCAAGCTGCGTCCAGTGCTGGTTAAACCCATGCACACACAAACCCGCACATTCACACAATTACTGAGGAGCAAAAATGGCAGATACCTCAATTCACCTGTGCAGTTCAGCAGTGTTAGGTAAGGCTAGTTACTGGCATTTCTATTAATTTCAGTTGGGTCTGTTGTAAAATTTCAGATTCGTTTGTAACTGTTCTTCAATGACGTCAATGATCTTATTCTTGATTTTTTGAAAACTTACATTCAAGGTTAGATTTCTGATATACTTACACTGTGTGTAAATTTCACAATGACTGGACCAAAAGTGAAAAAAGTCTGCGTCCATTAACTTACATTAAAATTAAGGTAGGGTTTTTCCTTCTCCTGTAAAGTTATCATTTTGGAGATACTAATGCAGAAACTTTGACAGTCCTATTAGTGTCCTGTTCTTGAAAAAGCCCAGTATTTATAGTTTCCATCCAATATCTAGTTTGGTTAATCAATAGTTTATTCGATTAATTAAAATGTGTTTCATTACAAAGAGATTAGAATTTGTTCTGTTTAACCAAATTTAGTGCAGGGCAATATGGACAACTTTTAATTTTGGAATTCGTACGTTTTTTTTATTATTTTGCACTAGTAAAATTATTTTTGTCTGAAAATCTAAATATCATGACACACTGGGTATTGTAAAATGTTCTACCCCTATATAAGACTCTATTTAAGAGTTTCTGTTGTTTTTTTTAGCTTGAGAAATGTGACAATTCAGAACTTACAGTCATATTGACTGTCACAACCGACAGACATCTATTTTGTGCTTAAAATAAGTGAACAACTTTGGACCCAACAAAATTTCAGCTACTTTAAAAAAAGCTATACTGGGCACGCATGACTTAATGTGTACACAAAAGTTAAAGCTATGGCTGTTTCCTGAAGAGATGATGAATCCATCAACAGTAGATATGAAATAAATGCAACAAGTCTGTATGAATGCGTTCTTACATATGTAAACATGCAAATATTCAAATTGAAGTCCAGTCTTTTTTCCAACTAAAACAGTAGGTATATATTTAATCTAATTCCGCCTGTAAAGCTGTATTAACTATTGTGATTAATATTCCAAATGCTATTTATATTAAACCTTTAAAAACAGCATTAGCAGATGTTCTCAGAGTGAATAGGGCATGTAGCCTGGTCCAATGTTAGACCCCCTTACCTGGTTTAAGGCTGGCATCTGCTTTTGGAGCCATCTCACCATCAAGTTCTCGAATATCTTTTCGTAGGACTGTGTTACTGAAAGACAAAAGTACAGCTAGTTGTTAACATCCATTTTCTCTGATTCAACAACCTATGATGTGCTACAGCTGTCAAGTTTATGCTTAAAGGGCAAAAAAGGCTATAAATCTGTATAATTTCAGAGATGGGGCTAGTTATATAGTGATAAGAAACAGACATCTAAAGCATTCAATGCCTGTAAAAGCCACCTCACAAATGCAGTCATATACAAAAAATTTCCACACACCTGGGAAAATTACATTTATTTTGTGCACTTCTGTACATTTTAATGCACATTTACTGTTTATTTGCTCATTTTAAGAAACTGGAAAAAAAACATAAAATATGGCCTCTGCAAAAGTTATTTTTTCTAATTTTTTAAACTTATCAAATAAATAAAAACTAGGCACCAAAATCTGAAATAAAAGCCATATTTAAGTTCATTCCCTGTAGAGGAAGTGTTAAGTGGATTTGCACTTAAATAAAAAAAAAAAACATGTAATCTGACCAGCGGTATTCAAAATTTTATGTTGCCTGACGCCTGAGACGATGCTTTTATGATGAGTAAGCTTTTTCTGATTTTACCAATAACATCACAGTAGGAGATTCACAGTTTATTTTGGCTATATTTGTGTTGTAGACATTACAATCTTGATGCACCATTGCACAGCAAATCACGCTGACTTTGTTCTCATTTCAACTATTTAATAATGCAGATTTATCAGAGTGGAATTGGTAGAATTTCCTGTAAACAGCTGCCAGGTGTTATCTTAAATGATACCCGGGTAAACACTAAGGAATTTGCAGACCACACATCAAAATAATTTGACAAAATGCAGGAATTAGATTTGCATGTGAACAAAGCACTGAATTCTCATTTATTGCTCAAATCTGGCTTTAATGTTTTTCAAAATGTAAACAAAGTCCTTTAGAGTGGTTTGAATGTGAAATGCTCCATTCCAGAGACACTTATAAAAGAACCTACATGTCTTTCCTGCATGAAAACACATTTGTTAAGACAATGAAAGTTCTAGTTTCTGATTTGTTGCAGTAACACACATACAGGGTATTGGTGATTAATGTTTGTTTATTTGGGTCAATTAAATTGTTATTTAAAATTATTTACACAGCAATTGATCATCAGCTAAAATGTCATAAATTGAGTCAGGTCTAATTTTAACAGTACAGCAAAAACAAATAGGTTTACGTTTTAAATTTGCAAAGTTTGCAAAGAGTGTGCATCTGCTGTATTAGGAGCCTGCCTCATGAAGCAGGATTTCTTGCTTGGCCAGCTAACTTTAAGCTTTAAGCTTAGTTCAGTCCAACTCTTGTGTGACTTACAAAAGTACATCACTTTTTGCAGGGCTACATCATGGCAACTCATGCTGCTATAGCCTGTAAACAGCTCTCGGACCAATCAGGGGATGAAAACAAATCATTCTACACAGATATTGTAAATCTAAAGCACTTATTTCTCCATTATACAACAGTTACTTCCGGCCACGCAAGCTGATTGGTTAAGAGGCGTTCTAACTGTGCTGATATTTTGCCATAAACATCACAGGTTTTTCACAAACATTGTATCACTTCCCTAAGACACCGTTGCTAAGCAACAAGTTTGACAGCTGTAGGAAATGCTCAAGTCATTTGAAAGTTTTTACTTCTTACTTTGCGCACAAACACAAAATGGATACTTTTAAGACCACATTTGACCTACAGTTGATTTGGTCAGACTACACTAAATTCCCAAAACTGTCATTCCCACTGAGCAAGCTTTTCAGTCGGCAGCTGTGACAGAAGAAAACCTAAACAACCTGGAATTAGCCAGACATGAACCGAATACCATTCGCCAAACGTGTAGTCTCATCTTCAGAGTCTGACCAAATCAGACTGAGCCATAAAACTGCCGTAATAAAAAACAAAAAAGCTTGCTCAGTGGTAATGACAGTTTTAGAATTTAGTGTAAGGAGCTGGGGAATGAACTGCCGGCTGTGCAGCAAGTGAGCGGAGCTTGTTACTCTGACGTTGCAACAAGCTGCTTTTTAAGGAACTATGATTTGGCGGAAGGTATTGCTAACATTAAAACATATTAAATGACACGTTTACAGCCCAATTTATTAGTTTCTTACTTTATTTATTTAACTGTTGCATAAAAGCAATAGAACATTGCTATAACATCACAGCTATGATGATCCATGGCCAAATCACAGCTGTGATGTTATTTTACAATAACACACTCCCTCTCGTGTTCTATTGCTTAAATAAGAACTAATACAGTGGCAGAGACGACAGCATTGCTTTTTTACTGTCATACTATCTAGTGTTCTTCTTTACCTTCTACATATTTACATCGATTTCTTCCTTCTTTAAAAAAAAAAAGGGGGCTCGACTTTTCATGCGATTGGCTGGCCATACTAAATGTCTTGTTTGGAGTATCTTGAGTACCTAAACTTGGGTTAACAGAGAAGGTTGTTAACAGCAGCAGCAAATAGTTAAATGTTGTTGTACTGGTTAAGTTTTGTGAGGCTGAAACTAAAAGTGCAACCAAGTCTAAGTTATATGAATATGCTTCTTGAAACCGTCCCCTGGTTTTCTATTAGGCGAAAAGGGCTGTATGCTGACCTTTTCAGTGCACAAAGGCATCAGCTAGTGGCTGAACTGAGACCAGCACTTACCTGCAGCATTCTCCACACTTAATACTAACTGTAACCTATTTTCATCTGTTCCAACAACCACAGTCTGAGTGACTTCCTGCATCTTTAGAGGTTGATCTTCATAACGCATCAGAGCGAAAATCAGAACTCTTGTGCAGACAGTGTCCCAAAGAAATAACGCAAAACTATAACTTCCTTTGCGCTTGACCATTCCTCTTCATTCTTTGTAAAAGAGTCAAATAGTAACCACTGAAACACTTAAAAGCTACTCACAACTTTCCATCCTTGAAGGAGCGGACAAAAACGCTGTCTTTCTTCATCGTCACATCCTCATGACAATCTGGAGAGATTACCTTTAACAACAAGAAAAGGAAAGCATGTCAAAAAGGGAAAGAGAAAGAAAGGAGACATACGTGACAATTCTCTGAAATCCTGAAAAGTGTTATTATAGAGATTGAAATATTTCTAGACTGATGAGATCAGCATACAGCTACACTTTGATAACTGAACATTAACTGGAGGATTTGCTGTAATACTGCAACATACAAAGTAAAGAATGTGTTACTTGAATGTCTTACAAGATTGAGATGTCTGTGTTTAAGAAAAATATAGCCTGGAAAAGTAAAAGTAAACCACCCATAGCTTGGTGCTAACATAACATTGAAAACCTGATAAGGACACTACCTGAAATTAGCATTATTATAAGAGGTGTGTTTGGATAAAAAGGTTAGTTATAAAGTAAAGGTTTATGCACAGCTGGCACAGAAGTTAAATAGTCCATAAAATGACTGGTTAACCCATTCTTTGTTAGTACAAAAATGTTAAAAATGGCATTAAAAAGTCAGGCTTCTCCATGGGTGCCCTATTGAGTGCAGTTTGCTTGCTTTGCTCACTTTTGTTTCTCTTCTACTGCACTGATTTGGGCTGCCAAGAACTGACACTGTGGTACATACTGCAAAAACTAGGAGCAACAGTCGGTATTAGATGCTCACTGACAGCCTGACAACGTCTGACAACAGGCAGATGGTTTGGAGTGTGAGGACTCTTATTTAAGCTAAAGAGGGCATCTTAAACATAGTACTGAAATGGAGGGCTAGTCTCCAAAACTACAATAAAACACCAAAGCACGTGAACATTTTGAACAGAAAATCTCATCATATGCCAAACAAAACCAACTGGACATCTCTGGAGCATTGAATACAGCCAACTTTTTGTTCTTACTTTTTGTGACTAAAACAGACCGGAGATTCAAACAGGGCCACAAACAAGAAACAACATTTTAGTTAAAAGAATGATCATGCAGAAAACAACTTAATCCATATTTTTTTTTTTTAAATATATGGCATTCTTGCACTCTCTGACTCAAGTGCAAGGACATTTTAGAACAAACGGTAGCTAAAACTGTGTTGTGGTAACAATGATCCAAAGCATTCATCTAGGCAAAAATGGCTTACAGACCACAGAATTAAACTTTTGCAATGACCAGCCCAGGCCTCAACCAAAAAGTTGTGTGGATGAGTCAATGAGGAGTCTCCATAAACCAAGACCAAAGAGATTTTGGGATGTTTTGGCAGATGGTCTGCATGGAGAACATGATGATAATTTAAAAAATGAACAGGATATTCTACCAAATCCAACCATGGCGATGTGATGGGTCTTTTTCTGGGCAATGGTTTCACATAACTAACCAATTCACAATAACACACATATTAAGAAACTTTTCCCCCAGTACAGAGAATAGAGAACATTTAAAGATGTATATTTCTACACATACAACACAGGCTGTTTTTGTAGCTTAGTTTCAATATATGCACTGCATGGCCTGGGGACCAAACGGTACATTTTACGCCAAACATCTACTAAAAAATAAACATAAACACAAAAATAATTGTAACAATAAAGCAAATGTCAATCATTTTGCTCATTTATTGTTCATTATTGAGTGCTTTCCTGGTCAAATTAAATGCAGGTTTTTCATAATACAATTAAGGACCATACTAAAAAACAAAACAAAGAACGGCAAGGTGTTACCTTTAGTATAGTTTTAAAACCCATTGTATTTACAAAATTAAGTGCATTTTTCATGAGGTCTACTTTTTTATTTTATTATTTATTTATTTATTTTTTACTACTATCTTCAGTACAAAACTTTGGGTGGAGGCTGGTTGCCAGTGAGCCAGCACACCCTCATACAAACAAACATGCTGCAGCCTTTACATCATTCTCTCCACCATGCACTCATACTGCAAGGAACCATGGGAGCCAATGATATGCTTTGTTTTTCTTTTCCGTGCTGTCATTTGACGCAGAGCCTTTGGATGGTGCTGGAGAGCACAATTCCACAACACACTAACAACCTGGAGGAGGAGATTCACAGAGCTCACTACACAACTGATTAAAGGGACAGGGTCCTAGTTTTGCTCACTAGTGAGCCCTGCTGACTCCTGATCTGGAGCTGCTGTGATCTACTTGAGTGAAGACCATCTGTACGCTAATAACAGAACATTACAATAACAGAACGTCTGAGAAGGAAAGATACCGTGCTTAAGTCTGATACTGCAAATATAAGCAGCGGATATGAGCTGGATTAGTTTAGGTTTGGTTGTGTAAGGTCGTTTGTAAGGGATTTGATTGGCTGATTTGTACAGTACAAAGTATCTGTGTTAATTCCCCAAATTACTACAAACAGTGTGGATTTAAAGGTCATGGCCCAGATGTACACATCAGCACTATTATTATTACAGTCAATAACACAGCAGTGCATAGCTGTGTCAATTAGGAGGTTTTCTTCTCATAATTAATCAAATATTCTATTATAAAAATGGAAATTACTTAACAAAGGACATGATATTAAACTCATTCTGCTGAACCTGATGAAATAAGTGCAGTTGATCAGCTAATTAACCATTTATCAAGCATAATAAATCGAATGAGACAATTCTTGAAAATTAATGAAGACAAAACTGAAATTCTTCCTGGCTCTACTGCACATAATGTGGAAAACTGTGAGCAAACTAGTAAATTTGGCCTCAGTTTTAAGCCTCACATAGACAACGCGACTAAAACAGCATTTTTTCATCTTAGAAGCATTGCCAAGGTCAGGCCTCATCACACACTGCATGATGCTAAGTAGGTGACTTACACATTTGTTCTCTCCTGTTGGATTATTGCAATGCACTGGCTTACCTAAAAAGAGTATAGATAAACTACAGCTTCTACAGAATGCAGCGGCTAGAGTTCTAACGTGAACATAAAAGAATGAACATACTGGCATGTTGGCAGAGCTTGCTGTTCAATACAGAATACATTTTAAAGTTCCTTTAGTTGTTAAGGCTATTAAGGGACTAGCACATTATTATATGTCTTCCAAACAAGATATATGGCGAGCATCTTCAGTCAACAGTTTTAAACAGCAAAACCTTCAGTTTAACTCATTTTGTTTGTTTTATTCAACCTTGCCAATTATTATTATTTTTATTTTTTTTTCACATTTGTTTCTCATTAATGGTGTTTGCTTTTGTATTGACAAGCACTTTGAGCTGCATGTATAAATGGTGTTATATAAATAATGTTTATTATTATAAATTATACATTATGTATAATGTATAATTATAAATTATACATTTCCCCCTATGATTTCACAGCACGAAACCTCTTTTCTTAGAAAGACTGAAAGAAGATTAGTGAAAGATACTAAAATGGCAAACAATGTTTAAACAAAGTGAAATAGCCAAGTACGTGTTACATTTTTGGTGGTAGTTTTGGAGTGCCGAATGAAGATGCTGAGCACGTCCTTAGTCATGCATATATACCTCATGGAGCTGAGAGACAGAGATAATCAGAGATAGCAGGCTAATCGGTTTTTGATGATTCCTGTAAGAAATTAATGTTAATCTTTACAAATACAGCATAGAACAATGAAATAACTCACCGAGTCATCAATTCTGAATGAAATTAAAGTACTCCTACAGAAGTTATTTTACTTACAATAGACTTGACCTTGGACCACTAATTTAGCAATCAATTTTAAACTTGGCTATCCATTCAGTAAACCAGGTACATGGATTATGAAAACATATCCCTAAACAAAGATCTAAAAAAATAATTTTGTCCTGAACTTAATTTGACATCATCTCTGCTATTTCAGTAAGCAGAAACCTAGTCAGTCTCCTTATTGGAAATAACATTAGAGCACATCTGTCTCTCTGTTTTTTTGCAATGTCCTTCATAAAAAGGGACCATAAAATGTGTAAAACTATGTATACGTAATTTGTTTTTTAACAAACCAACATTCTTAAAATTATGAAATTTGAATAGTATTGTTTTTAAGGTTAGTATTGAGAATGAGTATTCACATGCTTGTTCTAAAACATCAACAAGTATTTGAAGCCTGTAAAATGCTGTTATTAGTCATTATTACATTACCCAAATACATACTTATCATCACTTAAAAGTATTACTACTTTAACGAAATAATGACCCAAGTAGAAGTAAAAGTAGCCTAGCAAAAAAAAAAATGAGTAAAAAAAAAGCAATTTTCATGTCAGGTTTTCAACAGTGACCTTTCTTAGTACACTCCTTATTTATCAGCTTAGAACAGAACTTCATTAGGTGCTATTCTCCTTTTGGTTTGAAATCAAATGTTCAAGCCCACAGTGAGAAGTATTAGCAACAACAAAGTAATTAATGTGCTGAACCAACAGAAGAAAATGAAATGAAGCCCAAAAACAACTGGTAACCCAATATGAATTGCTGAAGTGTAACTGAAAAAAGTAAATTACTTTAGTATTTAAAAAAAGTCCACAAAAATTTTACTTAAGTACTCGTTACTAGGAAAATGTAACCACTTTCTCTGAAATTCAGACTCAGACTACTATTACTGAAGGAGCACCAACAATGGTTTAGTTCGATGGATCTGACTTACCAGTGCAGGGTACCAGGTCTTTTTCTTATCCCCAGTAACAATAGCTTCCACACACACCACCTTGCCGTAAAGTTCCTCATTCTGTTGCTGGTCACCTTCTTCTTCTTCACTGGATGAAGAAGATGACTCTTCCTCTTGACTGTGGGACAGAGGAATTATTGGTGTCAGTATGTGGTTAACAAAATCACAGTTGTAAAAGGTTGTTATCAATTACTATTGATCTCATTTAAACTGCTAACTAATCATTGCTGATTTATAGTTATTGTGGCAGCCCTACAAAAATGAACAAAAGCCTCACTTTAGACAGACATTTACAAAGCAATGCTTGTATAAGATCAATAGCTTGCTTTCAATCACTGACATTAGCAGAAATATGACTCTGCATTTCACTGAATGTTTAGTTCATTATAAGTTGTTGAGCTGACATCTCTTTAAACTCCATTCTACAGTAACGGCAGAAAACAGAATTTTCTCTCTCCTCCTCACTCCCTTGTTAAGGAGGATAATAGCTAATTAGGCTGTGCATGATGAGGAGACCACTCACTTGCCGCTGCTTGATGGGCCTTTCAATTAAAAGACAGCCCTCTGGCTCAATACACAGGCAAGCTCGCTAATTCACACTCTAAGGGGCCAACTAACTGTAGAATATATAAACACATCCCAGCCAGGAAAGACCTGAGTAATAGATCCTATGGTGAATATAAGGTCACAATCAATGCTCACTGGGGCTGAACAATATTAGGGGAAGTCGCATTGCGATGTTTTGGGTTTCTGATACACTGCAACATTTAAAAAAGCAATTGGCAACCTATTACTTGAATGCAGGATATCAGACTAACACAGTCATTTTGTCCCACACAGGATGATGTTAAACCATGCTTCAGGGATGATGATTTTGTGTGCATAAATTTAACACTGAAATGTCGGTAAAACAGTTAAAATTGTGATGGTGCCAGCTGCCCATGCCTACCCTAAATATAGATATGTTTAATCCAGAACCTGCTGTTAATTCACTTTAGAAAGTAGCATTTTCCCATCATTTCCATGTAATGGGAATTCCTATGTAATATTAGCATCAAGCTAATAATAATGCCCATTCATGTTTTTTGACATGCTCTGCCTTAAATATGAACAATTAAAACCTAAAACAGACAATTAAGTAAGATGCACAAAAATTCAACAGACATATGTAAAGTAAGCAAAGCATATTTTAGACAGTCAGTTTTCACTTTTGGATGGTTCTGAAAAATGTTGGCCTGTGCCCTGTGGATGTACAAAATGTACCAATGTACAAAATATCATACCCTTACAGTAAAGTCACTTACATTTCACATTTGAAGTTTTTCTTTTACCATGTTAGTCCATGTCCTGAAACAGCCCTGATATGTTGTCTGGATCACAAGATGCTGGTTTACTATTAGTACCTAGAATTAATGAAGTTACATCAGGGGGTAGAGCCTTTTCATACAAAGCCCCCCAGCTTTGTGTTTGGGACTCGGTCTGCTCTGAAACTTCAAAATCAACTATTCATCACTGAATGAAAGCATGACAGAAGAACAGACTAATTCCAAATACTTACATGGGATTGGAGCGTCGGCCCCCACGGTTGCCTTTTTTACCGATGACTGGTGTGCCAAAGTGCTCAGGATTGGTCAGGGGAAGTCTGTCAAGTGTCTGTGACCATAACAAATAAAAAATGACTTATCAGATAGATATCAGCTGGAAGTTCAGCTACAATCCATACCGGACGCTTAATACTGCATTCTTGGAGTTAGTCATAGTCTTAACAATTGGTGTGAACCTTTCATTAGGCTATGTTAAAACATCTGCAAAACCTAAACCAGGGATTGGCAACATGTGGCTCCTTTACTGCCCTATTGCAGCTCCATAGTAGAATTTACAGTAAAATAAAGCTCTGCTGATTGTTCCAACACTGTTTTAACAATAGTTAATATGTAACTGGTAATTTACCCTTTAACCCTGAAGATTGGTGCACAGACTGCTGGTAACCATAGCAACACAGACAACAATTTCGTCTAGCTAGTAGTTATTGAAAAGGCAAAAAGAAAGATTTAAATCAAATATCGATAATTTGGAGACAAATGGACTTATTTGCGTTTATAAGCATTGCAGCTGGTTTCCTAACATGTCTAATCTGCCACGAGAAACTGTCAAACACTAAAAAGTTACGAAGCTGAAGTCAGTTTCTTGTTCGAATTTTCCCGTTTCACCTTAAATGGTGCAGCAGTTGCATTCTGCCAGCGAATGAGAAGCTGACTTCAGCTTCATGAAAAAATGAATGTTGACCACAGCTTTATTTTTAATTATCTAGTTAAGCTCTTTCACAAATAAATAAATAACTAAATAAATAAATACAATTGAAAAAAAAAGTTAACGGCAGATTTACTAACATTAATTAAAATATCACATACTTTCTTGATGAATAATAACTCATTTTCTTACTTCATCAATAATTGCTACGACAAAATCTTGAGAAAATGAGTCATTATTTCAACCTAATGAGTCATAGTTTGAATCTGAACTAAAAGAATACAAAACAAACACTTTCCTCCTAGCTGAAACAGATTTTTAGTTAAAAAAAGTGGAAGTCCTCAAAATAAATAAATAAATAAAAATTTAAATAAAAAAATTAAAATAATTAAATTCGTCAACCCCACCTACACAAAGTGACAAGACTGTCGATAATTAGCGCCGCTTTTAGTGAATCTGCCCTTTTACAGTGCAGATATGTGCAAAATTAGACTATTCTTCCTAAAGGGATCGTAACTGTATGGCATTACTATTAACTGTACTACTATACTATTAGCTGCTTGCTGTTCCTATGTTAACATTAGGCTGCATGTGGCTGCTGTTAACTATGTGACTTACTTTACTTCGTTTCAGGTTATGTTGCGTTACAAGATCTGCGACACTAGCTTGATTTTTTGCAGAATCTGACCAGACCTGGTGCTTTTCTCCCTACAATATCGGCTCAGACATTTTTCTCTAGTATCAGCTCAGTACCAATGCTGAGTATCGGATTGATGCCGTCTCTAAAAAAACAAAAAAAAAAAAATATTACCTCGCTTTCTGCAAAGTGACGTGCCCCTTTAAGGCAGAGTGAAGAACGCCTCAGGGTTTTCTCATCACCATCATCAAACACTGCAAAAATTAGGGACAGAGAGAAGTTACCTTTCAACCCACACACAATTGCTCTTGTACTCAACCACTAATAAACTTGCACATACTTTCAGGATTAAGAACATTCTTCTTACATCATTACATGTAGCATGCTCTTAAGCTACTTGCATGATTTCATCATTATATAGATTTTTTTTAACCATACAAATTTCACACCTCAGAAATGCAGAATACATGCAATAAACGAAAGAGAAAGAGAAACAAGCATAGTCTGTTTTCATTTCTTAAATTTAGAAATGAAAGCCTCAATAAAGTGTACATGTCCAATACTATAAAATAGTGTTGTTTAAAGCAAGCAAAATACTTTACTTATTATTAAAAATACACAAAAAATGAATTTTTGTAGGGCCTAACATAAAATGGTTGTCAATTAAGTGAAGAACAGTAAGATAAATCTAATATATCCTCACAGATTTAGCCATTCCAATTTTAGCTGGAGTGCCACATTACCCAAGAGAAAAACTTTTTGTTTCTGCAGGAATCCAGAGTAACCACATGACATCACCACAGTGACTAAAGGAGCTTCCATTTGGTTCATACATCATACTTGCATACAGTATTGAACATGTACATTATTTTAAAGCATTTAAGTCTTAACACTCTTGATAAGCAAGCTGCTAATAATGAGTGGACCTTCACATGTGGTAGTTTTAGCAGGATATCTGCCAGGTATCAGCAAATTCAATTTAATGCTTTTTAAGACTTTAATGCTATTAAAGCTATGTAAACTAAGCACTGTGTATGAATGCAAACCTAAGCAGATAGTATTTATGGGTGAGAAGTCCAAGTTTAAGCCTGCATCTTGATAACTACAAGGTAACTCAAGATAAGAATCCTTTATTAGTCCCACAATGGAGAAATTTACAGTGCTACAGCAGCAAAGGGGTAGCAAGGCACTCAAGAAAAGAAGTAACAAGAAGAGAATTAACAATTGTAAATTACTTAACAAGGTTTACAGTTTGTTAATTGTTACTATATACACAATATATATATATATAATACGTAAGGTAAAAAAATAAGATAAAAATATAAACTCCGTCCTTCACAAAAAATAACAATGTAAACAATTCTAAATAAAAAACGAAAAAAATAATTACACTGTAAAAGATATTTTACCCGAATTGCACATGGAGTATTGCACATGAAGTACTGATTTATATTATACATGGGAATGATGAGGAATTAACAATAGAAACGTTATAAATAGAAAAGCAAAACATCTTTACACCATAGAGATATTTTACAAGTATTCCACATGGAGTACTGGTTAAAATATACACAGGAAATGGTGATGAATTCACAGTTTATGTGCTGTATGTGTGTGAGGTCTAATGGGGGGGTGGAGGAGGGTTCTACTGGGAGCAGTGCTGGTTGTACAGTCTAACAGCAGCAGTAAGGAAGGACCTGCGATAGCGTTCCTTCACACACTTGGGATGAAGCAGCTTGTCACTGAAGGAGCTGCCCAGTGCTGTTAGAGTCTCGTGCATGGGGTTGGGAGCTGTTCTCCAGCATCAATGCTAGTCTAGCTAACATCCTCCTGTCTCCCACCACCTGCACTGGGTCTAGGGGGCCTCGAAGGACAGAGCTGACCCTCTTAAGGAGTCTGTCAAGTCTCTTCCTGTCTGCAGTTGAGATGCTGCTACGCCAGCAGACCACTCCATAAAAGATGGCTGATGCCACCAGGGTGTCGAACAAGGACCTCAGGAGTGCCCCCTGCACTCCAAACGACCTCAGTCTCCTAAGCAGGTAGAGTCTGCTCTGGCCTTTCCTATAAAGTGCTCTAGTGTTATCTGACCAGTCCAGTCTATTGTTGATGTGAAACATTTTAGCTAGTGGGAAAGATTTAGCTATATTTTATATCTGCCTTGAGCTTAAAAGAACAACTGAAAACAATTCATGCCACACAATGCAACATTTCTGGAGTTATAGTGCGCACTAATATTAACAATTAGTGAGAATTTCTAATCAGGCTATTTCCAAACCTCAATAAACCTATACCATCTGACATTATCAAAATTCTGTACATAATTCAATGCCTATTACAAAAAAGCAGAAACCTATGAGAGAAGAAGTGTAAATAGAGACGTTATGTTGTGTTGTTTCTGATATCAATAATGCAACAACAACAACAACAACAACAACAAACAACAACAAAATAAAATCTCGATACCTGACACAGATAGCAATCTGATATTTGTTTTGTTAAAAACCACTGCATTTAAAATCAGCTGTTTCAAAATGAGAAACTTAAGCTGGCTATCTAAAAAGTACAATGATCAAATGATATGACTACACACAACCTCAATTCATTTACTGAGTGGGTGTAGTCCAATTAATTCTAAAGTTTCATCCGGATCACTGCATTGCTTGTATTACGTCCCCCAAAAACTTTTTAGGCTCAGCTTGGTCAGTGGATCTGAAATGCATATGTATTTCGGTTAAGTTGTACAAATAAAGTACAAATAAAGTAAAATTGCTAGAAATAAGGTTGCACACCAGTTAAATACTGAATTACTGTATTTCGTTTAAATTATTGTTCTTATCATTGTTATCATTGCTAAAATAATTATTAAAATAATATTAAACAAACTAAATAACAATACCTTGCACAGCTCAGTCTCTAGTACAGACATGTACTTGTCAGATCACTGCCTGAAGGCTGTTCAAACTAAAAGTTGATTTCTTTCCCACTTACCAACAGTATATAGACTAGCATCAGTAAGCTTGTTGATGGTGGCTTCCTGATAGAGTCCATCTTGGTTTTTCACTTCAACCACAGCACCCACCTAAAAAAGCCCAAGAAAACAAAGAGTTTACTCCAGACATGTCTGCAGTGCTTTTATTTTGTTTGAGTTATTTGTTTGACACTTGGAAAATGAATTTGACTGATGTGTTTAACTATGAAGTCTACTGATAGCAGTATGCTACAAAAAGAAAAGTTGGCGATTTGTGTTTAAATGAAGGCATTATGAATGATAAGTACAAACAAATTTAAATACATGATGTAATAACCTCTGGAAAATGTTTGACCGAACTTTGGAGGTGTTTATAAGAAACATGAAAAAATATTCCTGCAGATTTCTTTGAAAAACAGTAAGCAAACTTAATTTTTGTCCTTCTTTTAAAGGCTTCCTTCCTTTTTATTTTCATCTTCATGAAATTATCAACAGTACCAGCCCAAATCACATTATTCATACTACTGCCTGATGTAGATTCGTACATAAGCTTTAGAGAGAGAGAGAGAGAGAGAGAGAGAGAGAGAGAGAGAGAGAGAGAGAGAGAGAGAGAGAAATAAAGAAAGAAATAAAGAAAGAAAGAGAGCGAGAATAAAAGAAAGAGAAAGAGACACTTAGCGTTGTGTCAATAACCCAGTAACCCAGTTAAGAAGCTATAAAACAGTTCAGTTCCTGTACTCAAACTGAATAGGTCATTCACCAACAGGGAATCCTATAGATTTTTTATTACCTTAAGCTTGCACTCAAAGCAAGGCAGTGCTGGACTGAGCAGACTCTCTTACCTTCAGAGTTCCTCTTATGTGCTCGTCGTGCACCTCAGCCGTGGAGGAGTCTGGTTTGAAGGTCACCTGAAAAAGAGGTCAGGAGGAGAAAGGAATGAGTCAGTGAGTAAAAAGTAAATACAGAACATCTGAAATGCTAGGCAACTATTGATCTCCAACATCACTGATTTGCCTCCAAGACACTGAGTGAGATCAACAACACAAATTTTTACAGAAATCCAAATCTAAGTCCTTATTGTGCAAGCTTAGGTGACAGGGTTGATACAGAAATTTTGGACAATAACAATAACTTCTACAGACTACAATAATTACTATGTTGTTGTGGCTTAAACAGATAATAGTTCACATTATAATCCACATATGAAGTACAGTGAGCAGGTTAAAAAAATTACACCAAAGCCATGACATAGACATATGCAAAAGTTTGGGCACCCCAGCCAAATGACATGTTTTGTTGAACTTCAAAGTAAACAAGCAAAGAAGTACACATCCTCTACAGAGAAAGCACTTCTGCACATTTTAATGTACAATGACTTTTTTGTTTTACTGAATTTAACATATTGGAGAAAGAAAATGGAAAGTAAAATGTGGCCTCTGCATACTATATTTTTATTTTTTCCTCCAACTCAGCAAATAAATAGAAATTGTGCACTAAAATTTGAAGAAACGTCACATTTAAGTCTGTTCTCTGTCGAAAAAATTCAAAATTCAACAAAACATATAATTTGACAAGGAGTGCTAGAACTTTTGCATACAACCGTAACTAATTTAGACATAACAGTTATCGTAAAAAATATTTGGTGTCCCTGTCCGGACGAGAATCATATGGTCCATTGACCAAATTCAATTTTGTAAAAGAAATGTGTGATTGTGTAAAATTTGTAATCTTTTTACAGTTTAAAGAATTGATACAGGGGATGAACCAACATGGGAATTGCAATACTAGATTTGCAATACTAATGTACACAGCCACCAGTGTCGACACAAACATTTATAAAATATAGAAACTGTGTCCAGATTCACCTGGATAAGCATAAAGGAGAAATGTAACATTTGTTTCTATAGTAGTACAAGTGCAACAAAAGTATGGCATTAGCCCCTGTGGCACCTTTTTTTAAAAGGGTGTAATGTGAGCTGCTGTAGAGCGCCTCAATCTTTTTCATGTATCAAAAACAGAGCACCATTCCCCACACATATACTGAGTACTAGATAGACTATACACTTAACTAATGGGTTTTAAATATATACCATTACAGACTTGAATAATAAGCTGCAACTATAAATAATAAATGCAATTATAAGCAAACATTAGAACTAGTTAGGACTAATCCATACAAACAATGTAAAAAGTACGGAAAAAGCAAATTTAAATTACTTCACGCTACTGCTTTCAGTGATGGCACATCTCATAATTATATTCATTTTCTGTCATTTTCCTTGTGTTTGAATAATTCTGAACCATGCACACAACCATTTAAAGCAGCTATTTCCATTTCTTTTCTCTTTTAATAAGGTAATTTCTCAATGCTTTTTTGTGCCACAAACTACCATTTTTAGCAAGCAAATACATGCATATACTTTTCATATGAGATGTTTTTTGTTGTTACTCTCAATATATTTTCTATACTGGTATACTATAACACTGTGATAACATACTATATAATATTGCTTTCCTGTTTTAGATGAGGAGCATTTTATTTTGTGCACTTTACTAATGGTATGCAAGCCTTGACAGTTAAAAGTTATTTGCTTGAAATCCGTGAAAATAAGGAAAATCCAAGAAGCATGAGTTCATTAACTTTAACCATAATCATTAACATTCCCGCCCAGCACTAATTTAACATATGAACCGGAAAAAGACTTTTGTTATTCAAATATTAATTTATATTATATAAATATGCAAATATTATTAACTATTAAGTCAATGTGCTGTTAATGAAATGACCGCAAGTGAAACTGAAATTTGACCCAAGTATGGGTCTCTGCACCAGGTTTAGCACTCTGACCTCAGACAACGCATCTGTCATTTTACTTACTACATTAATGTTCCATAATATCTGAGCCAATATATCTCGTTTTACCTCTGTTGTTCCATATTCTCATGTGCAATCATTTTCATCAGTTTCATTTGTAAAGAGTGGTCTAGCGTTTTGTCAAAACACAGCCACATTGTGCATGCTTGCATGCCATGATTAGGCAGACAACATCCCCCATTTCATTAGATTTAGCCCCATATGATACAAAACCTAGTGAGCTAACAATAAAATAAAGACATATTTCTTAGTTTTACATGGTGAGGAAAGGTAATTTATTTATTGGCAACTTTAGACATACTTTTTACAGTATTTAAGAGAGGGACGCAGTGAGCTGCAGGAACCGCATGCTTGTTTGGCCAGCCGCTGTGCGGACCGAGCGCTGTGACTCGTAGTGAAGAGACTAGTAATGCAGGTCTCGGTGTGAGAAGCAGCAGCAGATAGTTTCTCCCTTTATATCTGGCTTGTTAATTCATCATCTTCAGTGTTTGAATATCAGAACATCTTCCACAAAGTTTGCAACGCATGCTTCGGAGTAAGTTCAGCTGTATGAACCTAGACGTTTTTAATGTTAATCACTATGTACATGCAAAGTATGTACCAGAAAATTACTGGTACCACATATTTACCTATTAAATACTAATTATGTACCGTAACATAAATTAAAGTGCTACTGAAAACTGTCACCATCAGATAAACAGTATTGAAATCTTTTGAAAATCAAGCCCCATACTTCAGATCTGAAAATATCTACAAGTGTTTCTGTCCATCCTTCCACTGTGAGAAGACAAAGCAACACTATGAATTCGGAAAGGATGTACGGCTGTCATGAAGCTGTTACGAAAAAAGGAAACAAAAACAAAAACAAAAAGCTGCTGGTGTTCTCACAACAGTGGACTGACCATCCCAGAATCCATTATCATTAAATGTGTTTGGGATTACTAGGATCATGAAGAGCAGAAAATGCAACCAACGTCTAAGACTGAACTTTCGAGCTCTGGAAAAACCTCCCTGCAGATTTCTTTCGAAAACTAAAAGCAACCCTCTCAAAACAAACAGAATTAATAAAGGCAAATAATGGACACGCAAATTACTGAAAATGTTAATAATGTAATATTTTATTACTGGGTCTTCCATGTGGTTTTCTGTTAAATATATGTTTTCTGATTTTGCCTTGTCACTAAAACATGTACTTATTAAATAAAGGAAGGAAGGTCTGACTTTCGCACTGTATGCATCACTGATAACATGTTAGTTTTGACAATAAACTGTAATTCCCTTTAATTGATATTCATAGTCCTAGTTTTGAGTTTTCCCGTCCATTTCTTTCAACTGCAAGAACAACAGTTGTTTGCACTCAAAGCAGCACCACACTCGACACTGTCTACTGGACTGTCACATATGCTGCCATGGACACCAGCATAATCTTCAGGATCAACATCAGGATTTTTCCCCCTGCACAATAATAAGGCATGAAGCAACTTTTTTACTAATGACTGAGTGAAGGTTATTTGTCTCTATCCCTGGTAATATGCCTGCACGATTTCTGACAAGTTGGCAGTTTGTTTAAATGTTTTGTTTTTATTTTTTACATTTTTTTAAAATTCTCTTACAATAACAACAGCCTAACAGATATATCTATTTATAATTATTTTTCTGCTACAGGCTAGGCATTATTTGTTACTGCTCAGTTCAACCAATTTTGGCCTAAAACAAAACAAAACAAAAAATATAAGAGTCCAAGGCCAGTCTAAAGCTAGGCACAAGATAAAAACTGAGACAGCAGAGCAGAGTGGTTATACTGTGGATAGTCCTGTTCTATGTAGAACCTCATCCAGTGCTTAATATGTCTCAGATGGGTGAGCAAAGAAGAGAAGGGAAGAGAGAAAGCAACGCAGATCAGACACAGGCTATGGCAGATGATGCATCTGTGGTACAGACATAAGAATTTGATTACATTGTTGAGCAGTGTCTCTGACGAGAATTATAAAGCATCTGAGAGAAAGAAAACAACAGAAGCAAGCCTAGGATGAGAAGTCACAAGCAGGAAATTAAGCAAGTGAACTGAAAAGAGGACTCACTTGAACATGGGTTATGTGCAATTTCACATACTTCTTGCTTGTTGGCCTACTGTTTCATACATCCCATGAAAGGGGAAGGGATGGGATGAAATACATTGGCAGCAGACATGTTTGCTGATTAGTGAGAAAACTGAATTACTACAAATTACTATTAAAACTGCATTAAAACACTATTAGAATACTAATACTGCCAGATTTTTTAATCAAGTAAATATTTAAATAAGCAAATTTGATAACTTGGAGGCCTTTTCTAGGCTACTTACTTACACATGTAGTCACCAGTGCCGGGCAACTTTCATCCGAAAGTTATTATGTCACTGGCCCACAAACAGAAACGTCACTGCTGTCTAATGCTGTCTAACCACTTTAAATGGCTCTAGATAAGAGTGTCTGCTATATTATGTACAATATTTACATAAAATGTAAATGTTTACATGTTTAACAGTCATCTCTCATTAGTTTTTGGTTATTTGTATCTGTATAAAACAGATGGTATTAATCAGCAGTAATTATAGACAGGGATGCATGATGATATTGGAATCATATTGGTATCATCAGATAATTGTGAAAAAGACTGATCAGGTATTGGCTACATTAAGCCAAATTCAGTTTAGAGCCTTTACTTCTTGATGCTAGGCTGGGTGAGTGCAGTATACCATAAAAGTTAAAATATTTACTTCTAAGTGATTTTAAGTGAAATGCATTAGCTGGGCTTTACGTTTTTAACATTATTACATTATTTTAACATTATTTACCTTAGATTGAGTAGCACTACAGTGGAGAAGAGTGGGATTGTCAGAATAGCGCGAGAAAACAGTGACACTTGCACAGTGACAGCAAGAATCACTGCTGGGGCTAATGCATCCGAGGAGCTCATTTGTGGAGTTTTACGTCTGAAGTATTTTGTTTGGCTAGTTGAGCTGTAGCTGAATGTCCTCTAAAGCCAAATCTTGTTCTTTAGTGTCACACACTGTACATTTGAACAGACCATCATGTAGCTCTGTCTATGAAACTATTTCAAATAAAGCTGTTTTCAAAATAACATGCTGCACACCGAGTACTGAGCAAACACACTGAGAAACTGAGCAGTGCCACTGACACTGTGCACTAAATCTAAACGCAAACAATGATGTACAACGTATAATACGGTCTCGACAAAAAGAAAAAAAATTAACACATTAATGTTTATGCCTTGCTATTCTACTCAATGAAACAGAGTACAGTTGGCATATACACACTTTGGTAGGAAACTTTTTCACCTCCGTTTAGCTGGCCTACATGTCTCCACCCATACTGGGGAAGCGGTTGTGATTTTAGCCCGTTTTTAAACACACACAAACACACAGTGCATTCTTGGCATAGGAAGCCTCATGTACTGTGTTTGTTCATTAGCGTAGCAGTGTACACTCTGATACACGGTATCAGCGGGTATCAGTGAATTTTTATGAGCACACGTACAAGTAAATAAACACTATCTGGCCAATATCTGTACAGCATCAGTATTAATGCATCCCTAGTTCCGCAAACACCATTGGCCTATTAACATAGCAACAATTACTTCTACATATATTAGTTTGTGCTGTTTGATTTCACTCGGATTTTTTTTCTTTTCTTGCTGTATAAGCAGCCTTATTTAGCTATTACAGTTATGTTGTACATGACCAGTAATTGCACATGAATGTAAAGTTGGAATATTTTGACCTGTCAAACACTATTTCTAGAATTTTCATCTTGTAACGTTACACCGAGTCGCCAATGTAATGTCTATTCACATACATGTGGGCAGCTAGAGAATTGTTTTGCTCTTATTTTTACACTCTATGTATAGAGTAAAATGTATATTTTATTTTGGTCTTTATATGATGAGTATCAGTAGACCCAAGTATGAATTATCAATTTGAAAAGAGAGTTTGTCAATGTAATGTAAGCTCCAAAGCTTTAATGCCAGTGCTATTAAACAAGTTAACTTTGCTCTTATTTTTGTACTCTCAAAGAAAAAACTGGGCATTTTAACAAGTTGGATCACTAACCAACACAATATCATTTAATCTCAGAAACAACTGTAATGGAGAGAATGCTAGCTAGAAATCCAGAGCAGCAGAAAAAGCATTTGGACTGCACCAGGCGATTTAAACTGGCATTAGAGCTCTAGTGCAGGCAGAGTTGGAACATACCTATTACTAAAAAGTGAAGATGTTTTTTATTTATCTATTTTTTTTTTTCCATTATTACCATGATGGTTTAATTCAGCAATACAGGCTGATTTACAAGTTCAGCCTACAGTGCTGTAATAGAGCTGAACAGTAACAGCAGTTTTTCAGTAGCTTTGGTTCCAGAAGTAAAAATCCCATTCTTCATTCTCCACAGAAAAAATATCCTGCTTATAAATCCTGATATAAAGTTTTAAGCAGCCAAACAAACCAAATAGCTAAAAGACCAATTATGCCAAACATTTATTCTGATCAATAAAAATTGAAAAACAGACAAAACTTCACATCACTCATCTATGTACTTATAGTTTTTAAACTCAAAATGAATGAATGATCCCAAAAAGCACTGCCCATAATGTCAATTATTATCCCTCCAACCACTTTTCAGTCAACTTTTGCTATCAACAATTTTTTCTAGTGATTTTCCGTATATGTTTGTGCTATTATTATTCATGTTATGTTTTATGTACACAGGGTTTGCTTTTTGTCTTTCTGGTTTCATGGTTCGTTTTTTAGTAAGTTGCTTATCAGTTTTAGTGCATTGAAACTCACCATACTATGAAAGAATGGTTTTAAAGATTATTTTAATCCTCAAATGAATTATTTTACACATTGAAGTACACATAAGTGACAAATATAATTACCGAAAGGGAAGTTGGTGTGTATACATTTGTGCTATATTAATATATATGTGTGTTATTATCTTCAGAAAATTCCCTATGGTGATTATGAATGGGATTTTTATTTCCAGAACCAGACTGTTCAGCTCTATATAAGAGAGCAGGTGGTCCCTGTCAGCTTAGCAGTCTATTAAGTGATCTGTAGAGGGATCTGTATACTATGATATAAAACAAGCCATTAAAATTCAGTGCTGTATTGGAGGATTTCCACAGGTAGATACAAATCTGGGGGATCTCAATATTGGCTGACATAATCAGCCAACCAATCTATTGGGCCCTAGCACACTCTCGCACAAAGGGTCAGCGCCAAACCGCCTTCACTTTTATGTGAGAAGTTCTTTCAGGCAATCTCTCTGTAGTTGCTATTACTGACACTGCTAAAGTCAAACAGTTATCCACAGCAAAAAAGAAACATTTGTGTATTGCAGCCACAACTGGTTAGAAGAATCACACCTGAAAAAAAAACTTGTCTGTTTAACAGCACTTGTGCCGCAGAATAAATTACCAAGGTCAAGTTTCAAAACAAATCTGTCTGACCCCGTTTTTGTTAACCATGTCTTTGAGGTAATAGCTCACCTTGGCTTTAACGAGTCTCTTAGCAGTCTTGATCTTGGCTTCACAGAAAGCCCCACGATACTTGGCACTCACATCAGTGCCAACAGACAGGTATGGAGGCTCCTCTAGAGTCTGAAGGGAGAGACAGTAAAAAGCAGAGGGTGAATAATAAGAACAGGCACACGCACAGGCACACGCACAGGCACACGCACAGCAGCTGAATGGTATGCTTTGGGGGGGGAGACATTGCAATATTTTATGTTTCTGCATTGAATATTGTGAAACTTGGAAATAAAAGGGCTTTTGCCCCAGCTTTCCCCAAATTAAGCTAATCATCACTAACAATGGAAGAGTTAAAGCAGTAGTAGAACACACAATACTGAACTACTGATGTGATGTGCTTTAGAGGACATTCCAGCCTAAAACTAGTGTTTATTGTATTATTATGCATTGTGTGACGCCTCATTGGTTTGACAGAAATTTGATGATTGTTTCACATTATCATTTAGCAATGTACTCTTACTACAATACCCAGAATGCATTGCACAAATATGTCCTACAACCATTGTAAATGAAACACAGTGATGTAGAGGGTAACAAATACAGACACATTTTGGCTTCCCAGCCGTAATGTTTGCTATCTGGATTTCTTCTGTATTAGCCTGCTAGCAGGAAAGAAATTCAAAACAGCCCACTTCCAGCATTTGAGGTTTTTTCAAAAGTTTCTGTCTTTAAGTTACATCATCAAAGTGTTTAAACGAGAAGATATCACTTTAGGAACTTTTGTGGCACCACTGGAGGAGTCAATTAAGCATGTTTACAACAGATAGCAGTAGCATTTTTCCATTTTGGCTGGAATGCCCCTTTAAGTACAGGCCTCTGTTATGTTTTTGACCAAAGTTATTTATGTTTGACGGATAATGTGAATGCCTTGATGTGTCCAAACTACACAAGAACATCTGCGATTGGTCGGGATGTCCACAGCAATAATAAAACATTCAGTGATTGGTTAGAAGTTAATTTGCATACTACACACTTCCGCAATATCAGAACTGCATAGGCTAATGACTAAGAACAACAACAATTAAGAATGATACATTTTGTGATGTCTCAAACCCAGGCCTATTTTATATAGAAGGAACAACCCTCCAGACAGAAAAATCTGTTGGTAAAGATTTCCTATGGGAGAGGTGTCCAAGAATATTTCTTATAAGCATCCCTACCACTGCTCCAATAGGCCATAGCGAAACTAACTGAACAGCTGGAGAACCAATTCTTAGTGTGTCAGCAAGTATGGATGACTAGTTAAACAGTGTGCTCAGCCAGTCAAACCAGCAAAGGAGCACTGCATGACTCCACTTGCTCCCCAAAATGGAGCAGGTTGCTATGGATACCAACTATGAAGATACATCACAGAGGTGTCATAAAGCACTTTGAAAGATGTCTTCAGATTCAACAGCTACTAGAAAAACTAGATGGCTGAAAAGACAGATAGTAGTAATCAATACACTACCAGTGTCTGCTTTCGACAGCGGAGTGGATGCATGCTGAAGGGTTTCATCTAATCTCTGACAAAAGCAGTAGAGCCCAACAGCAAAGCGTTTAAAAGGCAACTACAAATTAATTCATGCTTTGCCAAGAGGCATCAATCTAAATTTCAGCCCAGACATTTTCAGTAATACTCCTCCTTTTATTTAGGAAACAAATGCACAAGCAGGTTAACCCCTGATAATCTCTTTGTATCTCACTGCTAGCAGCAAAGAGCTAATGCTAAGGTCTCATGACATTAGAGATGCAAGATATTGGAATCGTATGAGTTATCAGCATTGGACCAATGTTTAGATTTGACTGGTAATTCAAACTTTAATATTAGATAAAGCATTTGGTTTCTTCTAAAAGAGCAGAATGTTTGCAACTGCAATGCTGAGCTTATGTGCTTAAAAAGGGCTGCATTTCATTCATTGTGGTGCTTTTTTAACAGTCCATAAATACATGTTACATTTATCTGTAATGCTAAATGCAAATGTAATGCTAAATATCAGCATGGACACAAAATTCTATAATAGAGGGTCCCTATACAACATTAAAATGTAAAAAAAGAAAAAAAGAAAAAAAACAAAGGTGGTACTGATGAGCGTGCGATTCAGAAACGTGTTGCTCTTTTTACGGTATTCCATATGCCAAAAAAAGTTTTGGATGAATCAATGAATTTGAGTTTGGATGAATCACACTCACAGCTCAATGTCAAAACTATTAATAAGCTAACTTTATCTAGGTACATCCTAGATAAGGCTAACTTTATCTAGGTACTTCCTTTAGATCACCTAACATGCTAACATCCTTTGTCATGTCCGATTTAGCCGTCTCATGGCTGTGTAAAATTAATCATTCATCTTATTTTTAAATGAAAGAAACTCCAAAACACACACACCATACATTCATTGGTACTGTCCAGATCTTACCTGTCAGAAATCTGCAAGTGCATCCCTACCCAGCTCAGCTAGCTCACTTCATCCAGGCATTCTGACAGACTTACAGAGACCAGTTCAGCAGACCTGTGGGTGCCCTCAGGGAACCAAACACTCACAATGAGGTCAAGAAGTGCACCCTTAGTGAATGAAACGGACACATCAGAAGAGGGCCCCTTGCCACTTTCTCAACCCAGAGGAGGGAGGAGGGGAGGGGAGTTGGAAAAAGTGTGAGAGGTCTTCTATTTCAGAAACTTTCACTACTAGCACTTTCCAGTAGGATAGGAGGGAAAAAACAAAACAATACAGCGTAGCACTGCAATACCTTGGATCTATTTAGACTACTTTGAACAATTCATTCACTCATGCACATAAGTATAAATACTTCAATACTTAGTTGTAAATATTTTAAAAGTACATTATTTAAGCCATTGGTAGACTAACAAGACTTCAAATTACTTGGTTTCTTAGACTTCTTAGTCTTTCTTTTCCCCTTTTCTGCTGAAAACAAGTAGTAGCATGTGTAGTACAGGCGTTGACATGAACCCAAATTTGGAATTTCCATTTTTCCACACAATAACAATATGACATCACAATATATAAAAATAATGAAATGACTACGACAATGTCTTTATTATGTAAAGGATAACCATTACACTAGATTCAGATCCTATTTATGGCTACAATTATAAGCACAGGAGTATACTGCAAGCGGCAAAAAAGCAGTCCAATTACCGCTTCTGGTGGAGTTGATAAGAGTTATTTAAGCTGCTAAAGCACAGAATTAATTTGTCTGAGGGGCAGAGTTGTACGTAATTTATCAATTTTGGGCTTATCATAGCATTCACAATACAGTGAACTCTATATCGTGGGTTAACATTATACTGGTCGTATCTGGTCTGTAATGATCAAATTTACATTGATAAGTCTCATCCCTAATTTGTAGGTGACTTTTTAATAGTGGTTAGCATTGACTGTTGATGGATTGGGGAAGGAGGGGACATGTCATAACTGCTTTGTTTGATTCACAAGCATCATACTGCAAAAGCAGAGACCATTTATCAGATCACATTTCTGTGTTTTCATGCACTGGATTAAATGCACATTAATCATCAGCTTAGCATAACCTTTAACACTTGTAAATGATCACATAAAGCTTATGTAAATATTTAAGCCTCATTATTAACTGTTTGAAAAAAGCTATACGTATTAACTTGCCATAATGTTATGGCCTAGCCTACCAGTTATTGCTGGTGCTGTGTAAGCATGGAAATACAGTCCACAAGCTGTTTAGACAAAGAGTCCACAATGTCACTTGACTTTTGTAGTATTTCTGACTTGAAACCACTACAATGCACACAGGAAACAGTGGAGCAGTGATGCAGCGCAGAAGCAGTAGGGTTACTGCAACTGGTTTAGAAGAGCACTAGGCTTATTGTGGCAGGCAATCAATGTAAACAACACTAGAACAACAAGACATGACACTGCTATGCAGATAAAAATCTTATCATAGCTCAAGCACTGATGTATGATGTATGACAGATCCAGTATCATACTGTGGGCCCTCCAGCAATCCTCTCCAGTGTGGTCTTTGGAGTTTTTGAAAAACACATGCAACCATGATTAGTGAACATGAATTCAAACCTTGTGTATATAAGTTCTGAAGCAGAAAAGACAAAATCAGCAACCCAGCACCAAATAATACCACACAAAAGTACATTTAAAAACATATCACTGCTGCACTGCACTTCAACAGCAATCAGATGTGAAGCTATGAGAAAACCTGAATCGAGCATTAGCTGATAAGCTGATTTTTGTTTATGAAATAGCACCAGCTGTTGTTGGACTTTAGGTTGTCCGACGTGTACAGGTATTGTTATTTTGTATTGTTAGTGCAACGGCTGAATGATAGTTTGGACAGTAAGTGGCTTGCTCAGTGGTTCACAGTGCTGGAGCACTCCTCAAGAATAACTTGAAAGAAGCTTTAAAGCTTTTATAATGCTCATGTTTATTGTGTGGCATGCATCTGAAGACCTCAAACACTCCCTTTAATCATCATGTCCCCCTTAATCAATATGGAAAGCCATGCTTAACCCTAGACACAGCTGTGGCCATAGCAGAAAGAAACCTAAGGTCATACTGAAACATGACTGGTATCAACCTTGACTTTTCTCTTGACCCAAAAGCTTTGTTTGTCCTTTCTTTACTTGCTGTATGAAATTCTACACTTGATCTCACATACAATAATTAACACTAGGAGTGGTTAATCCCAAATCAGCCACCTCAGTTCAACACAACATTCTGAGGTGAAGAGTCAGCATAAAAATACATATATTTTAAAGATTAGTAGTTTTTACTAACTCTGCCATGTCTAGTTTTACAGTATCAAGTGCTACTATGTTGTATACTAATCTATGCTTAATGCAGCAATGCAGTGAGCCATTGAACAGTACAAGCCCTCTCAGTGTGTCCAAGGACAGAAAAGGACTGCCAAAGTGAACAGCACTCAGCCAGCTCTCCTTCACTCCTCTTTCCTGTGCCTCTCTGCCAAACAGATCTTCACCAGACATGGAGCAGGTGTTCACTAAGATCACATACACAGCACTGACGACTTGCTCTTAGATGACAGTCATTACTGCCACTAGTGGCAGGTAATATAAAGAC